CACTGGCGAGTCTGATGTTGAACTTAGGGCTACCGAGTCAGTTGTTGAACCAATCACTGAGGAGTCTAATGTTGAACTAAACACTGCTGAATCAAGCGCTATCGAGTCTGACGTTGAACTTAACACTGCCGTGCCTGATGTTGAACTAAACACTGGTGAGTCTGTTGTTGAACTTAGGGCTACCGAGTCTGTTGTTGAACTAAATACTGCCGAGTCTGATGTTGAACTAAACACTGGCGAGTCTGTTGTTGAACCAACTATCGAATCTGATGCCGAAGTAACGACTGCTGAGTCTGTTGTTAAATCAGAGGCTATAGAAACTGAGTCTGACGCTGAAGTGACGACTGCTGAGTCTGTTGTTGAACTTAACACTGCAGAGTTTGTAACTGGTGAACTAAAGACTGCTGTGTCTGTTGTTAAGCTTAACAATTCTGACCCTGTTGTTGTACCAGGAACTACCGAGTCAGACGCTGAACTAGATACTGCTGAGTCTGTGGCTGTGATAGAGAGAGCGGAATCTGAGGCCGAATTTAATACCGTGCTGACAGCTGTTTCACTGGTTACACTTGATCCCACTAATCCAGGAGCTACAACGAAGTATCAAAAATTCTAATAACAAATATGAAATAATCGCTTTTTTGGACACGTTACAAATTCAATGCACATGAATTTTATTTTGTTGACATACTTCGAATTCTACGCCATGCGCAATACAATCATCAAATATCTGATAAATATGATATTTGCATGAAACTTATTCATGAAAGACCTCTTACGTCTTTTACCATTCAATAATTGAATTCTATTTCCTATATTTGTCAATTCTTCCGTATACAACTTTCGTTTATGCGACAAATTAATTGTTCAAATTTTATTAACATGGTTTGGATCAAGTTGGAAATAAATCAAAGTCATACAACAATTTGTTATTGAGGCAATACATAGGCCTACACAAAGTTAGTGATTTAAAGTGAGTACCCTTGACCCGTCGGTCGTCACTACAGGGTTACGTGAATAACAATGTTTTTTTTAATTAATTTTCCAAATGTTTTGCTCACATTTGTCAAACAGTAACGAGGATCACATATAATCTTATAGCAAGCTTAAGCATGCCATAGGCCCAGTGCAGGATGTACGGCTTGCTCTCAATTTCTTTTTCACCTGACCTGATTAGCGTTAAACTTTTCTATGGCAAAAATGAAAAACCTTGGATATTTCTACACTATTCTTTCAATCAACCTGGTATACCATACACAAAAACTTTGAAAAAATTATAACAGGAATTTGTACCATGTTTAGTCTTTTTAAGGTCTACTCGAAAAAGCGACTTTCTTCTTTAAGGAAAAATGATAGTATATCTTTACATACCTATGACACACAACAGTGTCAGCAGAAGGACCCTCTTCCATGGCCGAATATCGGGCTGTGTTCTCGAGGCCATTTTGTTTCAGATGTTTGGCAATTCTCACTTATTTTCTAGTTGCCGCCATCGAAATAGCTAGAAAGAATAAAAATGTTCTTTAGGATTTATGCCTGTTGTGCATGCCGCTTTTAATAGCATGGAATAACGCTGTTAGGTGACATAAGAAATGCTGTGATGTGGTTTGATGTTAACATAGAAATTATAAATCGATGTAAAATATATCAATTATGAGTGTCTTTACAAAATTACATTTTGATTTACCACAAGATATCATTTTAATGCAGTACTGAATAAAAACTGATCTTGAATCAAATTAAAACTTTAAAAATGCATGCAGTTCGTGGTCTTTATAACAAGGATGAAAAATTAACTGAAATGACCTTTCGAAAAATGCCAATTACATAGGATCCCGTTATGAGTTCCTTAAGATTATATTTCCAATAAGCAACCATAAGCTTAAAATCACTACGGTCTTCGATAACCTCGATTTACGTGTCTTTTTGGCTTATTTATACGCGAGATATGTATATGTTAAAGTTATTGAAAAGCGTCCCAATTTACAGTGTGCAACAGCGTATTGAAAAGTAAAAATCCTGTGGAACCCATAAGAACTTCAAATACGCAAAAATTGACAGGGGCTATAGAACGTGCAACTGACATTGGCGTGTCTCAGGGAGGACTTACCTGACAAGTACCTTCCCCGACATCAGGCCTACCCAACTACCAGACTCGGCACCTAAGGATCCTGAATTAACCGGTATATCGGACCACACTACCCGTTTTCAAGGTGTGTGTCAGATCGCATTTCGGAGTATCAGCCAGAACACCGACAGGATGAGCCCTGGCATGCTCGGCTGTCACCTTGATTGGATAGTAAACGATTGCCGTAAAATCGCTATATGATTTTAAAACCGGGTGCATAAATTTGAAAGCCACCTACATGCACCTTAGACTGCCACATTAATCTAATACAATGCAAAAAAGCCCTATCAAAAGTGGTTAAAACATTCAAACCGAATGTCGTAAAGTCCCCATATATCCCCATAGAGACAATAAAATAGAGTACTCTAAAATAAGAGTACAGTTTAAGGTTGTTCAGCCGAGCGTGGATGAGCCCGCAGTCGTGCTACAAAATTTGTTCTGGGGTATGATACTCCGAAATGCGATCTGACACACACCTTGAAAACAGGTAGCGTGGTCCGATATACCGGTTAATTCAGGATCCTTAGGTGCCGAGTCTGGTAGTTGGGTAGGCCTGGACATGCTAGCCTAACAAAGGTGTGTTATGCGATGGACACAAAATGGACAAGTGACGAAATGTGCGTGTATGAGGGTGATTCATATTGGCTTTGTCACCATAATGTGCTGTAGAACCGTATAGAGGTGATACTGTTACAGGCGACATACACGGATGCATAGTAAGATCGGTCACTGGAAGGAGTGGTGGGTTTGCATTATACAGAAGTCGAAAAATTTGATAACCTCAATAGAAATGAACGTCGGAACCAAAACACACACACCCTTTCTCTCTCTCTCTCTCTTTGTGTGTGTGTGTGTGTGTGTGTGTGTACGTAAACTGTGAGAAAAAGAGAGAGAAGGTGGGAATATCATCCAGGAAAGCAGATGTTATTAAGATTATCGATAGATATTTTCATTTTTTACATTTAAATTTCCAAGGCTTTGTCACCAGTTCTAACTGTAAAATTCAGGCTTGCCATTCTTTAACCTGATGCAGGTCGGAATGACTCTTACAGTTCTGTCGACAGGTGATAATTATTTAATAACTTCATGGGCGTTACCGTACGTATGGACTGTCTTGAGTTGTCACGTGGGGTTACTCATGCCAAGACACTCCGAACTATGTTTCACAAATGATCTGAAGCTTTATGCTTTATTTAATGAGATTAGCTAATTACAATCCGAGAAAAATCTATAATAACTCACAAAAATTACAACGCCTAACTAAAAGTTCAGCTTGTGCCTATAGTGAAATGTGAACGCTTCATGTACAAAACGCACTGTCTCTAGCTTTTTTGCCTCTAGCTTTAAAATGGAAGTACAGAGGGTGCCGAAAATTAACCATACATTCAACTGAGAGTAACAGCTAATTTGTCACTGGTGGTAATATAAGTATAAGAAACACAGTCTCTCACTTAATAATATAATCATACCATGCTGAAGGCACTATCCTGAAGGTACAGTTTAGACTAATAGTTAAAACATATTATCATCCAGGCCCGCGAACAGACAGGGATCCATGCGCATGGTAAATCATCTGACGTAGAGTTGCATATATATGACAAAATATAATGATATACTTACAATTTATAATCGAGCAAATTGTGTGAATATATAATTAACACATCCATCATGTCCCTGCCCAGTAGTTATACTAGACCATAATTTAAAATACTATCGGTTGCATAAATCAATATTGAAATTTGACAACTTCGTGTTAAATAAGTGATACAAGTAATACCATGTTCAATTGATTATCCATGTGTATCAAACATTCTGATGCTTTTCAGTGTGTGATGATAAGGTTTTCTAGTATATTTTACATTTTTCTTGGTCTGAAACGACATTCATCGGTATCATTTTCTGTAAAAAAAAAAAAAAAAAAAAAAAAAAAAAAAAAAAAAAAAACACGCTTTACGTTACTCATACTGATAATACCTGATCAATTCGTGAAACCACCTACATATTTGAAATTTCATATTTATTCATATCTTAAAGTTGATTTAAAATAGATTGTAGACCTGTGAAAACTTAAGACCATGGAAGCCAAATATATAATTCCTATATTCAATGATTTTCATCGTAATGCGTCAGCAATCTTGTTCGAAATCAAATATGCATCAAATCACACCCCAGATTTTAGCCAGACGACTTTACTTTCCTGCTCAAATTTCAGATGCTTATCAATCTTACTTATAATTGAGAAGTATTCACTGTATAGCTGAATGCGGAAGCAGGCAACACAGCAAAGATGACATCTATAATTGGACCTTCAAAACGTGATTCGTTTCATGTAGAATCTCCTACGCTTTGTTCGCGTATAAAAAGCTTTGGGTTACATTTTGCACATGCTTTTAGTAGAAAAGTGGCTATTTTCAGTTTGTTACTTCATCACAAGGACAATAAACCTTTACTCCACCCATATCTTTTCTAAGAAGACGCTTTGGTCGGCTACTGAGCTTGAACAGGACGAGATCGCCATTGATCTGGCTCATTGTACAGTGACAATAAATACCGTGTTGGTCGGTCATGTATGGGATCAATGCTATTGTTCTCTTCTATTTGGGGGTCAAAGTCACAAATGGAGAAGGGTTATTCACATGGGCGTCACTACTCAGTCGGTCTTTCACGAGAAGGAGGACAGCAACTGTTGATTTTTCTCGCGGGCAAAATAGAAGTTCCTGGTTGCTCGCTGCATTTTCTCCAGTGCAACATTTTGTAGCAAAAGGGTTTCTTAACGAAACTGTACAATTTACACCACTTTCGGTAATAATTCAACTCAACCTATTGAACTGCAAAAGCCAAGGTCTTAAACGGACGTTTTCCACGCAGAAAATGTCTCATCGAGCGATTGCAAATTTGCATTGGTGTTCACTGGTGCACAGCAGTCATGGCCCACCTGCGCCACTCGTCTTTGATATTGGGTAACAGCCGTGCCATTTTATATCGTAGCAAGTCAAATATGTGGACACACACTGCGACTTTTTCCTTGCTAGATTTTGTAAATAAAGATTTATCTGATCATCGTGTTAATCCAACTCTGAAAATTTAAAGATCAAATAAAAACGTTTATTTTCCTCGCATTAAAATCATTGGAAATGCACTATGATTACGTTGAATTGATTAGATCGGGGCGACACGTAGCCTCCCATGATGGAAAATTTTGAATTGTACACTAAATGCATAAAAACATAGAATAAGAATAAAACAGTAAAGGATCAGAATAAGAGAATAAAACATGCGCCAAATGGGAATTATTTTAAACGCACATGATTTTTAATATCAGCCGCATATGAAGTGAGAGGTCCGTGCGACAAAATTCCACTGTAGTGCTGTGGTATAGGGCCTCATTGATTAACGTTATCCAGTGGCTGTATGTTGGGTAAGAAACAGTGCCACTGTACTCCTCACAGCGGGATTACGTATTTAAACATATTTAACAATTACATATATATGTACATATAGCTCTTTTGTGAATCAAAGGTTAAGTCATACGATTAACACAACAGGCCAAAACATTATGTGCAATAGTGCATTCGCACTTTCTTAGACGTCAGTTTCTGTTGTTTTACAGCCGTACGTGGATAGATTGACTTATATTAAAGATTTTAGAAGGTTTTGTGACATTAAGATAATCTTGTCTATAACAAGGTAAATCTGCACAATATATAGTTGGACAACTTATTGTACAACATGAAACCTCAGCAATCTTCGTACATAGCACATATTCATAAAATACTAATAAGTATATATAAGTATAATTATATGTCTTATAAGTATATAATTATATACTTGAGTGATATACAGGTACATGTATTTCTATTTTTCAATTTATTATACATATTGCTACATCACCCCGACACATTTGCTTTGAAACTAACACAAAACAGTCCTACAAGTTCTACCTCTTTTCTAACAGATTTTCTAAAAAAATTTCAGCAGTCTTCTTTCCAAAATGGAGTTTGCCATTTATGATACACACGTATCATTCAACAAGTGACGACTGAGACATTCATATTAAATTTGGTTTTTCAGTCACCGATATTCAAAATAGCTTCGTTTAAGCAAAGTGATACCAGACTGAACTAATCTACACAGAGAAATGTCCACCAAAGGGAACAGACTGATTTAAAAAATGAGGGTATGAAAGTGATATTCAAGCAGTCGAACTTTTTTTTACTCATTTTACTTATTTTGATACAGCCATACAGTTTTGTCATTTTTGGGGCATAAATGCATGGCAAAGCTTACATGAAATATTACGTCTTGTCATGACATTTCAAAATTCGTCACACAATATACAAGGTGTATAGTATACTGGATTTAATTTGATTTCTACAGTTATAGATACTGTAAAATAAGTTATCTTTAATGTGTTGTACCACATGGCTACCGTATTAAGCAAAAATGAGCGAATATACATGTGATCACAACTATACCCTCCCCCCCCCCCTCAAAAATGCTTTCATCTCACGTGGTGACACCCCCACACGAAGCCTTTTTCCTACACATCCTCAATTCTAAGAAAGCTGGTATTTATTGTCAACCAAAAAAGGACACGCAGCTGTATATGGTCAATACTCCTTTCGGCGTTTTATTGTTGTCACATATCCACCCAAACTTAGCCCAGCGCATCATATTTCAACTTCGATATTGAAAGGAGTTAAAAGATCAGGTGTTCCCCTTTTGTAAAGCAAAGCAAGTGGTATTTAAATTATGTAATACCCAGTTGGGCGCTATATAGCTATATATTTCTTCTGCACTTAGGTATGAAACAAGGTACAGCTAGTGCATTTACATTTAACTGCACATGGAGGCTCTACAATGGGATTTAGAAGTGATATTTATATGTGAATCATTCCCAAAAGTGGCAACGATATTAACTTCATAATGAATAAGATTCTTATGAATAATAAACTATTTTCAAATTCCAAAAAATAGGAAGAAAACGGTTATTACTTAATTAAACTATTCCGTCCATATTATAATATATTAGAACGTTCCCTCGCAAGCCTTTAGCATGCTATAATACTGTACATGTTAAGGAAAATTGTGTCTGTATTTGAAAAGGTCAATAATTTTGACACATATGTAGTAATTTTTCTTGTAACCTTTTTTATAAGCGTGACAAAAAGATTAAGTCTGGATAGTGAAGTACATGGTAATTGCTTGAAAGGTATCCGAAAATTTTGTAGAAGAAAAAGGTAGGAAAAGTGGACGGTATTTGGGTGTAGAATATGTCCAGGAGGTCCTTACAAAGCACCTGTGTGCCAGTGTCACCCCTCATCCCTTTAATTATACCACCAGCAATACTGTAATAATACGACGGTCATTCTCTTACAGCAAGTTAGAGGTTATTGTCCGTTTAATTAGCACCTCTGTCATCATAAGTACAGGTATATATGTACCTGGAGAACAGGTGGGTGTTAAGAGAATATTTAAACAGTTATTATAATAACAATGCATGAGATTATGGCTGTGGCAGTTGCGGTCTATTTCCGATATCGGAGACAAGGAGAAGTAGGGATCGAGGGAGGGATTGTGTGAAGGGCACAGAGAGAGAGAGAGAGAGAGAGAGAGAGAGAGAGAGAATGAATCTCATAATTCACTCCAATGCATAGGGCATATTGCATTCCACAAAAAAAGTGATTCTCTTTGTTACGTATGTAACATTTACATAATTTGTACTTGCCCCATTATGTTAACTGTTTCATACTATAGTTCCCCAATTATAGGAAGAAATCAACATAAAAAAATTAATATTAAATTTTTTGTGGAAATGATCCATGCTTAAATTATACTAAAAGTTTTTTCATATGGTCAATTGCAAAATAAATCACCCGTGGTCTGAAGAATTTTATTTCCCCTAACCTGGTAAATCTTACTATACATGTAGGATGATCCAACCCATGTATGCATTCATTAACAATATTGCTTTCTGTTATATACGCACTTCTATGTATAAATATATTAATTATCATCAATAGAAATAATGTATTGCGGAATATGTTGCCTTTTGTAGTATATGGCCACTTTATCTTCTCTTTTGGACATTGGACATTGACAATTGCCCGGTTTTATAGCTCTTAAATGGAGAAATGGATAGTACATCTTATATATAAGACATTAAACAGACTTAAGATACTACAATATAAAGACGACACTATTATCAAATGGGCTTAGGTATTTGTGTTTAATTGCGTCTTTAGTCATTGGCGACATCACTGAGTAATACAGACTATATACACTCGCGTGGCAATTGATTCTTCAAGATTAATAATACTTGAAACAAACGGATTATACCTTCCAGAATGTAACAGGAAATAACTGTCTATTGCCTATGGAATCTTAAAGCGATTTGATACAAATTGGCGATTGCATACGTTTGTATCGATTTTCGTTGCTGCGGCACGCCCATTATTAGTGAATCAACCGGCAACCCTCACACCGGAAAACTATCCTTTGAAATAAAGGCGCTTAAAATGATCTTACCTTTTTCCTTGCGAAACTTCGTCAAACGTTGCCGCCAATTGCTGCGTTATATCCCAAAAGATGCAGCAGCTTTTAAAGAACCCGTTTTTTTGACACAGCCTTTCTCTTTCACCTTCTCCAAGATATTATCCCAGACGTCAGTATATAGCGCGTAACAAGTAATCCTTGGGAATCCCTCTTATAGAGTCGTGCGTATTTGTTATCCGAGTAGTATGGTATATAATAATCCCAAATAACAAAGAAACCAACTACAACTGGCCCACAACAAAAAATAATTTAAAAGAAAAGTCGTGATGAATATTTACCTTCCGTGATCACTAGTAATCCTGTAAGAGGTGGGTTCAATTTGAACTTCACTCTGACCCCGCCCTCGTTAACGCCAAACCACGCGTGCAGTTGACCACTATAGCTCGGCAGAGCCACTGATGATGTAACCACGCTCTGCGTTAAACTTAACAGTACTAGTACTGGGTTCCACACGTGGAGCGAGGATGATACAGTCCACCCAGGGTAAAAAAATACCCAGTCACTACCGAAGCGTCCGATGGTCAGTATGCGGTGACTCCAGTACCTTGTTGACCTCAATATGACCAAGCCCAACCAGCCACTGTTTATTCGAATCAATGCCCGCACTGGCGGCTTATTGTTACATTAGCTTAATCGAAGCTACCGTGAATAGTGGGTGTGTTTGCCAACGGTTTAAATATACAAGGGGTTGGTCCACCGAGTTTCCAGACTTATTGCTCTAAAGCAGCATGTCAAATTAGATGTAATAAATATTAATGATAAAAGTGATGATAGTGCGGTTAAAAAGAATAGTGAATGAATTGTTTTTGAATTTTACGTACTGCGCTAAAAAACTGTTGTGGAATTCCCACCTATGGTTGAGATTTTATGTGCAGTTTCTTTTTTTTTGTGTGTGTAAAAGTCTAGAACTAGTCTTTTTTAAAGACTGCAAGCGCTAAAGATTGCTTTAATTTACTTATGAAATAAACTAACGCTCAACATTAATTACAATTCATTTAGTACAGATTTCTGTAACAGAGTTGTTAATTTTGCAATTTGCATAACGCACGTTTGTTACCCTGCAACATTTATCCGTTTTGTGAGTTATTCTAATAGTTATTCCAATTATTTTTCTTTTCAGGAAAGAGAAAAGCGTGTAAAAGGGAAATATGTGTGAATGCGCCTATCAATTCTCACATTTCTTATCTGGATCAGCCCGTTTGCATGCCATATCATTACAAAATAATATCTTTCGCACGATAAGAGACAAAACTGAAGAATTACACAATCGATTACTCTTTGGGTGTATTACAATTCTGCTTATAACAATACTTGAGCGCCAACGCCCAAAGTATAAATAGCAAATAAGAAAAGTGGACACCAAGCACAATGCACGCGGTACCTGTTCGATTAGACTATAACAAAAGACGATTTCAGACTCCTACTAAACAAACACGCGCTGAATGTCCAAGCTGCCGGAGAAAGGTGAAATTACACCTTGAATGTCGTGAAGGGTCCTGCTCTCGTATTACTGAAGATTTAAGGACTGTACCTGCACTTTGTAAATACGACAACACCCTGCATTGTATTGTTGGTTGTTTATCTTCTGCTTTTTCAGGTCAAGGTTGTTTTTCGTGAATACGTTTTCCCTGTACCAGAGTTTTTTTTTTAAATTCGGTTTGCTACTTGTAGCTACAATTAAATTTAGTATTATGGAAAACTGAACGATGCACCAGGCGTTGGTTTTGCTGGTTGTTGCCCACGATAACCCTTCCGGATTGTCGATGCAGACTATAAACGTCATTTTATGTCTCTTCTAAATAGGAATTTAAGAGAGCCTCACAAAACTGAACATTTATTTTGTAAAAGTGTTAATAAATTTTTAAAATATGCCTTAATTGTCAATGATCCTTTTATAGCTGAAGTTACAAAAGTTGATTACAAGATTGTAAACAATGTATAATTGTATAAAGACAAATATTCATGGTTTCGCGGGCAAACCATGGTTTAACGAAGGTTGTCAATCAAATTCTGATAGAAATAGCATGTATATAAAACGAGAAAAACACACATTTACATATTATAAGTTCGTCTTTATTCTCCATCTAGTTTAACGCAGTGTGCGTGAAATTTCAGTTTAAATATACAAGGAAGTTACTTGGCAATCCGTTTCTTGCAATGCAAACCAGCCCCCCCCCCCCCCCACCAAATAATAATAATAATAATAATAATAATAATAATAATAATAAATAAATAAATAAATAAATAAATAAATAAATAAATAATTTTTAAAAAATAAAAATAGAAAAATCTTTTTTTATGAAGATAAAAAATGTCCAAGTATCAGCCAAGTGTTGGGTCCTCTGTCCTACAGTGCACTACATACTGATTAACAGTGACCCCTTGCACAATTTTCACCCTCAGACCTACAGCAAATACACCTGTATAATATGTCCTCACCAGTATCACAACAAGAGCTATCCAACTTTTACATCCTGACTGATCCTTTATGGCATACCATGGGTGATAAAAAAAACAAAAACAATATTGCACTTTGCTTACACAACAGATATTCTAATTTTAATCAGTCCATTCTCAAGTGCCACCCATACCAACATTATGAATTCATACACATAATTACATCAGTATACAGTGTAAACTATGTCTGTTATATTACAAGGTACAAGAGACCAGCTGTTTGAAAGCATGGAAAAAGGCTGTCAACACTATCTCAAGTCTTCAGCTGAAAACATGCCCTAAAAAGAGAAAAATAATGGAATTACTAGCATGATCAAAAAGGGGAGACTTTAAAAATATATTAAATTCCGGTTTTCAACCCGTTTTTTGTACATATACAATATCAGGCACCCTGTAAAAAACAGTTAAACAAAAATTGTCTGACAATACAAATTCAATTTCGACTTTTATTATAAGAATGATGTGAACAAGAGGAAATTCACTGGAAGAGAACAATGTAAAAGTAAGTGTATAAAACCTCAATTTTGGCTCACATTTACAGATGTGAAGTACAGAACCCTATTTTTGAATATAAAAAATAAGAAGTGTATTAAAAGAGTTACCCTGGCTCTCCTGAGTATGGAGTCTTTAGCTGGATCATAGGGATGTTCTTTGCTAGGAATCTCCAACACTGCAGGAATGGGTTGTGTATAGACATCAATGATATGACGGATCATTTCAGCTATCTGAAAAAAAAAAAAAAAAAAAAAAANCTATGCCAGAACTGAATATTTCTGATTCCAGTGAAGAAACAAACGATATATCAGACGATCCAAAATCACTGCTAAAAGATTCAAAGCTTGACGGCTCAATGTCGGAACTAAGTACTTCTGAATCCGGCGAGGATGCAAATGATATATCAGACAATCCAATGCTTGAAGATTCAAAATTTGACGACTCAGTGCCAGTGCTAAATATTTCTGACTCCAGTGAGGAAACAAATGACACATCAGACGATCCTAAATCAGCGCTTGACTCTATTCCAATGTTTGATGAACTAAAATCAAATGAGGACGATGAATCAAAACTTGACGAGTCTATGCTAGTACTTAAAATTTCTGAACCCAATGATGAAACAAATGACACTTCAGGCGATCCAAAGCCATAGCTCGTAGATTCAAAACTTGACGACTCAATGACAGTGCTAAATATTTCTGATTCCGATGAGGATGCAAACGATACATCAGACGATCCAAGGTCAGCGCTTGACTCTATCCCAATGCTGGAGGGGCTAAAGTCGAATGCGGATGATGAGTCAAAGCTTGAAATCTCAATACTAGAACTATAAATTTCTGAAGCGGCAGATGACACATAGGGTATGTCAGACGATCCCAAATCAATGCTTGATAAAGAATCGGACGATGCATAAGACGACATAAATTCGGAACTTAAAAATTCTGATGTAGATAGAACAGCGGATATATCCGAGTCTGAAAAAGTGTCAGAAGCTTCTGAATATGATGCAAATATGGAGGCATCCGAAGTTGGTGGAATATATGAGACATCAGAACTTGACGGAATGTTGGAGAAATCGGAACTCGGTGAGGCTACGGAAACATCCGAACTTGATGGGATAACTGAGTCATCAGAGCTTGAGATGGAGTCATCTGAACTGATTGGATTAACAGAAACATCCGAACTTGATGGAATGAATGAGATATCCGAGCTAGATAAAAATAAAGAAACATCAGAACTGGTTGAAATATCGGAGATGTCCGAACTCGACGCGAATATGGAGACATCCTCACTGGAAGGAAATAAAATGTCTGAGCTTGATGGGATAACTGAGTCATCAGAGCTTGTTGGAAAAGCGGAAACATCCGAACTGGATGGGATAATTGATTCATCAGAGCTTGATGGAAACGCGGAAACATCTGAACTGGATGGGATAAGTGATATATCCGAGCTAGATGAAATCCAAGAAACATCAGAACTTGAGAAAATATCGGAGATGTCTGAACTCGACACAAATATGGAAGCATCCTCACTTGAAGAAGATGAAATGTCTGAGCTTGACGAAAACGCAGAAACAACTGAGCTTGATGGGAAAACTGTGTCAACGGAGGTTGAGGAGAAAAATGAAATATCTGAACTGGTTGGAATAGCGGAGACATCTGAACTTGATTGAATGGCGGAGATATCCGAACTTGGCGAGAAATCAGAGATGCCTGAAGTTGATGGGATTACTGAATCATCGGAACTTGATGGGATAAAGGAGTTATCTGAACTAGTTGCAAAAATTGCAGTGTCTGAGCTAGATGGAAAAGAGGATAAATCCGAAGGAATAAATGAGGCATCTGAACCGCTTTGTATAGCGGAACCATCAGGCGATGAACTAGATACTGCAGATTCTGTTGTTGAACTAAGAACATCTGTCACTGACGGTGAACTGAAAACCGCTGAATCTGTACTTGAAATAGGGACTGGTGACTGTGATGCAAGATCAGATATTGGTGGTTCTACGGATGCACTAGGGATTATCGTGTCTGAAGCTGAAGTAGAAACTGCATTATCTGTTGTTGAACCAGGGACTATCGAGTCTGATGCTGAAGTAAAGACCACAGAATCTGTTGTTGAGCCAAAGGCTACCGAGTCTGTTGTTGAACTAGACGCTGGCGAGTCTGTTGTTGACAGGGCTATTGAATCTGTTGTTGAACTTAACACTGGTGAGTCTGTTGTTGAACCAAGGGCTATAGAGTCTGTTGTTGAACTAAACACTGCCGAGTCTGATGTTGAACTAAACACTGGTGAGTCTGTTGTTGAGCCAAGGGCTATCGATTCTGATGTTGAACTAAACACTGCCAAATCTGTCGTTGAACCAAGGGCTGTCGAGTCAGATGTTGAACTTAACAATGGTGAGTCTGTTGTTGAACCAAGGGCTACCGTGTCTGTTGTTGAACTAGACGCTGGCGAGTCTGTTGTTGACAGGGCTATTGAGTCTGTTGTTGAACTAAACACTGGTGAGTTTGTTGTTGAACTAAACACTGGCGAGTCTGTTGATGAACTAAACACTGCCGAGTCTGATGTTGAACTAAACACTGGTGAGTCTGTTGTTGAACCAAGGGCTATCGAGTCTGTTGTTGAACTAGACACTGCCGAATCTGTTGAACCAAGGGCTATCGAGTCTGATGTTGAACTAAACACTAGCAAGTCTGTTGTTGAACTAAACACTGGCGAGTCTGTTGTTGAACTAAACACTGCCGAGTCTGATGTTGAACTAAACACTGGCGAGTCTGTTGTTGAACCAACTATCGAATCTGATGCCGAAGTAACGACTGCTGAGTCTGTTGTTAAATCAGGGGCTATAGAAACTGAGTCTGACGCTGAAGTGACGACTGCTGAGTCTGTTGTTGAACTTAACACTGCAGAGTTTGTAACTGGTGAACTAAAGACTGCTGTGTCTGTTGTTGAGTTTAACACTTCTGACCCTGTTGTTGAACCAGGGACTACCGAGACAGACGCTGAACTAGATACTGCTGAGTCTGAGGCTGTGATAGAGAGAGCGGAATCTGAGGCCGAATTTGATACCGTGCTGACGGCTGATTCACTGGTTACACTTGATCCCACTAATCCAGGAGCTACAACGAAGTATCAAAAATTCTAATAACAAATATGAAATAATCGCTTTTTTGGACACGTTACAAATTCAATGCACATGAATTTTATTTTGTTGACATACTTCGAATTCTACGCCATGCGCAATACAATCATCAAATATCTGATCAATATGATATTTGCATGTAGCTTATACATGAAAGACCTCTTACGACTTTTACCATTCAATAATTGAATTCTATTTCCTATATTTGTCAATTCTTCCGTATACAACTTTCGTTTATGCGACAAATTAATTGTTCAAATTTTATTATCATGGTTTGGATCAAGCTGGAAATAAATCAAAATCATACAGCAATTTGTTATTGAGGCAATACATACACAAAGTTAGTGATTTAAAGTGAGTACCCTTGACCCGTGGGTCGTCAGTACAGGGCTACGTGAATAACAATGTTTTTTTAAAATTAATTTTCCAAATGTTTTGCTCACATTTGTCAAACAGTAACGAGGATCACATATAATCTTATAGCGAGCTTAAGCATGCCTTAGGCCCAGTGCAGGATGTACGACTTGCTCACAATTTCTTTTTCACCTGACCTAATTGGCGTTAAACTTTTCTATGGCAAAAATGAAAAACCTTGGATATGTCTACACTATTCTCGCAATCAACCCGGTATACCATACACAAAACTTTGAAAAAATTTTAACAGGAATTTGTACCATGTTTAGTCTTTTTAAGGTCTACTCGAAAAAGCGACTTTATTCTTTAAGGAAAAATGATAGTATATCTTTACATACCTATGACACACAACAGTGTCAGCAGAAGGACCCTCTTCCATGGCCGAATATCGGGCTGTGTTCTCGAGGCCATTTTGTTTCAGATGTTTGACAATTCTCACTTATTTTCTAGTTGCCGCCATCGAAATAGCTAGAAAGAATAAAAATGTTCTTTAGGATTTATGTCTGTTGTGCATACCGCTTTTAATAACAGGGAAAAACGCTGTTAGGTTACATAAGAAATGCTGTGATGTGGTTGGATGTTAACATAGAACTTATAAATCGATGTAAAATATATCAATTATGAGTGTCTTTACAAAATAACATTTTGATTTACCACAAGATATCATTTTAATGCAGTACTGAATAAAAACTGATCTTGAATCAAATTAAAACTTTAAAAATGCATGCAGTTCGTGGTCTTTATAACAAGGATGAAAAATTAACTGAAATAACCTTTCGAAAAATGCCAATAACATAGGATCCCGTTATGAGTTCCTTAAGATTGTATTTCCAATAAGCAACCGTAAGCTTAAAATTACTACGGTCTTCGATAACCTCGATTTACGTGTCTTTTTGGATTATTTATTCGCGAGATATGTATATGTTAGAGTTATTGAAAAGCGTCCCAATTTACAGTGTACAACAGCGTATTGAAAAGTAAAAATCCTGTGGAACCCATAAGAACTTCAAATACGCAAAAATTGACAGGGGCTATAGAACGTGCAACTGACCTTGGCGTATGTCAAAGGGAGGACTTACCTGACAAGTAGCCTACCTTCCCCAACATGCAAGGCTAACAAAGGTGTGTTATGCGATGTAATGTAACACAAAATGGACAAGTGACGAAATGTGCGTGTATGAGGGTGATTCATATTGGCTTTGTCACCATAATGTGCTGTAGAACCGTATAGAGGTGATACTGTTACAGGCGACATACACGGACGCATAGTTAGATCGGTCACTGGAAGGAGTGGTGGGTTTGCATTATACAGAAGTCGAAAAATTTGATAACCTCAATAGAAATGAACGTCGGAACCAAAACACACACACACCCTTTCTCTCCCTCTCTCTCCCTCTCTCTCTCTTTGTGTGTGTATATGTGTGTGTGTGTGTACGTAAACTGTGAGAAAAAGAGAGAGAGAGGGTGGGGATATCACCCAGGAAAGCAGATGTCATTAAGATTATCGATAGACATTTTCATTTTTTACATTTAAATTTCCAAGGCTTTGTCACCAGTTTTAACTGTAAAATTCAGGCTTGCCATTCTTTAACCTGATGCAGGTAGCAATGACTCTTACAGTCCTGTCGACAGGTGATAATTATTTAATCATTTCATGGGCGTTACCGTACGTATGGACTGTCTTGAGTTGTCACGTGGGGTTACTCATGCCAAGACACTCCGAACTATGTTTCACAAATGATCTGAAGTTTTATTTTCATGAGATCAGCTAATTACAATCCGAGAAAAATCTATAATAACTCACAAAAAGTACAACGCCTAACTATAAGTTCAGCTTGTGTAAAGTAAAATGTGAACGCTTCAAGAGACCCGAATATTCGTGTACAAAACGCACTGCCTCTAGCTTTTATGCCTCTAGCTTTAAAATGAAAGTACAGAGGGTGCCGAAAATTAACCATACATTCAACTGAGAGTAACAGCTAATTTGTCACTGGTGGTAATAAAAGTATAAGAAACACAGTCTCTCACTTTATAATATAATCATACCATGCTGAAGGCACTATCCTGAAGGTACAGTTTAGTTAAAACATATTATCATCCAGGCCCGCGGACAGACAGGGATCCATACGCATGGTAAATCATCTGACGTAGAGTTGCATATATATATGACAAAATATAATGCAATACTTAGAATTTATAATCGGGCAAATTGTGTGTGAATATATAATTAACACATCCATCATGTCCCTGTCCAGTAGTTATACTAGACCATAATTTAAAATACTATCGGTTGCATAAATCAATATTGAAATTTGACAACTTCGTGTTAAATAAGTGATATAAGTAATACCATGTTCAATTGATTATCCATGCGTATCAAACATTCTGATGGTTTTCAGTGTGTGATGATAAGGTTTTCTAGTATATTTTACATTTGTCTTGGCCTGAAACGACATTCATCGGTATCATTTTCTGTAAAAAAAAAAGAAAAAAGAAAAAAAAAAAAAAAACAAGCTTTACGTTACTCATACTAATAACACCTGATCAATTCGTGAAACCACTTACATATTTGAAATTACATATTTATTCATATCTTAAAGTTGATTTAAAATAGATTGTAGACCTGTGAAAACTTAAGACCATGGAAGCCAAATATATAACTCCTATATTCAATGATTTTCATCGTAATGCGTCAGCAATCTTGTTCGAAATCAAATATGCATCAAATCATACCCCAGATTTTAGCCAGACGACTTTACTTTCCTGCTCGAATTTCAGATGGTTATCAATCTTACTTATAATTGAGAAGTATTCACTGTATAGCTGGATGCCGAAGATGGCAACACAGCAAAGATGACATCTATAATTGAACATTCAAAAGGTGATTCGTTTCATGTAGAATCTCCTACGCTTTGTTCGCGTATAAAAAGCTTTGAGTTACATTTCGCACATGCTTTTGGGAGAAAAGTGTCTATTTTCAGTTTGTTACTGCATCACAAGGACAATAAACCTCTACTCCACCCATATCTTTTCTATTAAGACGCTTCGGTCAGCTACTGAGCTTGAACAGGACGAGATCGCCATTGATCGGGCTCATTGTACAGTGATAATAAAACTGTGTTGGGCGGTCATATATGGGATCAATGCTATTGTTCTCTTCTATTTGGGGGTCAAAGTCACAAAAGGAGAGGGGTCATTCACATGGGCGTCACTACTCAGTCGGTCTTTCCCGAGAAGGAGGACAGCAACTGTTGGTATTTCCCGCGGGTAGAATAGAAGTTCCTGGTTGCTCGCTGCATTTTCTCCAGTGCAACATTTTGTAGCAAAAGGTTTTCTTAACGAAACTGTACAATTTACACCACTTTTGGTAATAATTCAACTCAACCTATTGAACTGCAAAAGCCAAGGTCTTAAACGAACGTTTTCCACGCAGAAAATGTCTCATCGAGCGTTTGCAAATTTGCATTGGTGTTTACTGGTGCACGGCAGTCATGGTACCACTCGTCTTTGATATTGGGTAACAGCCGTGCCATTTTATATCGTAGCAAGTCAGAAATGTGGACACACACTGCGACCTTTTCCTTTCTCGACTTCGTAAATAAAGATTTATCTGATCATTGTGTTAATCCAGCTCTGAACATTTAAAGACCAAATAAAAACGTTCATGTTCCTCGCATTAAAGTCATTGGAAATGCACTATGATTACGGTGAATTGATTAGATCGGGGCGACACGTAACCTCGCATGATCAAAACTTTGAATTATACAATAAATGCATAAAACAGAGAATAAAACAGTGAAGGATCATAAAAAGGGAATAAAACTTGCGGCGTCTAATGACATTTATGAGAAATATTTTAAACTTGCTTGACTTTTAATATCAGTCGCATATAAAGTGAGAAGTCCGTGCGACAAAATTCCACTGTAGTGCTCCGGTTTACCCTTCATTGGTAAACGTTATCCAGTGACTGTATGTTGGCTAAGAAATAGTGCCACTGTACTCCTCACAGCAGGATTACGTATTTAAACATATTTAACATATATTAAACATATTTAACATATATTTTGTGAATTAAAGGTTAAATCATATGATTAACACAACAGGCAAGAGAATTACGTGCAGTCATGTATTCGCACTTTCTTAGATGTCAGTTTTTGTGGTTTGACAACTGCACGTGGATAAATTGACTTAAAAATTTAGAAGGCTTGGTGACATTAAGATAATCTTGTCTATAATCAAGTAAATTTGCAATATAGTTAGACAACTTACAACATGAAACCTCAGAAATCTTTGTACATAGTACATTTTTCACAAAATACTATATTTGTCTAATAAGTATAAAAAAGTATAATTATATACATATATAACCCACTATGAACATGTGATCACCACCATCCCCCCCCCCCCAAAAAAAAATGCTTTCACCTCACGTGGTGAAAACCGCACACAAAGTCTTATTCCTACCCATCCTCAATTCCAAGAAAGCTGGTATTTATTGTCAACCAAAAAAGGACACGCGGCTGTACATGGCCAATACTCCTTTCGGCGTTTTATTGTTGTCACATATCCACCCAAACTTAGCCCAGCGCATCCTATTTCAACTTCGATATTGAAAGGAGTTAAAAGATCAGGTGTTCCCCTTTTGTAAAGCAAAGCAAGTGGTATTTAAATTATATAATACCCAGTTGGGCGCTATATAGCTATATATTTCTTCCCCACTTAAGTATGAAACAAGGTACAGTTAGTGCGTTTACATTTAACTGCGCATGGAGGCTCTACACTGGGATTTAGAAGTACTATTTGTATGCCAATCATTCCCAAAAGTGGCAACGATACTAACTTCATAATAAAAAATATTTTTATGAATAATAAACTATTTTCAAATTCCAACAAAATGGGAAGCAAACGTATTACCTAATTAACAATTACCTCCATATTATAATATATTAGGTAATTTCCTCACAAGCTTTAACCTGCCACAATACATGTTAAGGAAAATTGTGTCTGTATTTGCAAAGGTCAATATTTTTGACACATACGTGGTAATTTTCCTGTAACCTTTTTATCAATGTGACAAAAAGATTAAGACTGGATAGTGGAGTACATGGTAATGGCTGAAAGATCATCCGAAAATTTTGTAGAACTAAAAGGTAGGAAAAGTGGACGGCATACTCCAAAATTATTAATGGTGTCCAAGGAAATATTATGAAGAAGGACACATTTTGTTTGGGTGTAGAATATGTCCAGGAGGTCCTTACAAAGCACCTGTGTGCCAGTGTCAACCCCTCATCCCTTTAATTATACCACCAGCAATGCTGTAATAATACGACGGTCATTCTCTTACAGCGAGTTAGAGGTTATTTCTCGTTTAATAAGCACCTCTGTCACGATAAGTACAGGTATATATGTACCTGGAGAACAGGTGGGTGTTAAGAGAATATTTAAACAGTTATTATAATAACAATGCATGAGGCAGCTTGCATGAGATTATGACTATGGCAGTTGCAGGCTATTTCTGATATCGGAGACAAGGAGGGATCGAGGGAGGGATTGTGTGAAGGGTACAGAGAGAGAGAGAGAGAGAGAGAGTGAGAGAGTCTCATAATGCAGTCCAATGCATAGGGCATATTGCATTCCACAAAAAAGTGATTCTCTTTGTTACGTATGTAACGTAATTTGTACTTGCCCCATTTTGTTAACTGTTTCATACTATAGTTCCCCAATTATAAGAAGAAATCAACATAAAAAAATTAATATTAAAATTTTTGTGGAAATGATCCATGCTTAAATGATACTGAACGTTTTTTCATATGGTCAATTACAAAATAAATCACCCGTGGTCTGAAGAATTTTATTTCCCCTAACCTGGCAAATCTTACTATACAGGTAGGATGATCCAACCCATGTATGCATTCATTAACAATATTGCTTTCTGTTATATACGCACTTCAATGTATAAATATATTAATTATCATCAATAGAAATAATGTATTGCGGAATATGTTGCCTTTTGTAGTATATGGCCACTTTATCTTCTCTTTTGGTCATTGGACATTGACAATTGCCCTGGTCATCGGACATTGACAATTGCCCGGTTTTATGGCTCTTAAATGGAGAAATTGATAGTAGATCTTATATAAAAGACAATAAACAGACTTAAGATACTGCAATATAAAGACGACACTATTACCAAATCGTAACTAAATGGGCTTAGGGCTGTTTTTAATTGTGTCTTTGGTCATTGGCAACATCACTGAGTAATACAGACTATATATACTCAAGTGGCATTGATTCTTCAAGATTAATAATACTTGAAACAAACGGATTATACCTTCCAGAATGTAACGGAAATAACTGTCTTTTGCCTTTGGAATCTTAAAGCGATTTGATACAAATTGGCGATTGCATACGTTTGTATCGATTTTCGTTGCTGCGGCACGCCCATTATTAATAAATCAACCGGCAACCCTCATACTGGAAAACTATGCTTTGAAATAAAGGCGCTTAAAATGATCTTACCTTTTTCCTTGCGAAACTTCGTCAAACGTCGCCTCCAATTGCTGCGTTATATCCCAAAAGACGCAGCAGCTTTTAGAGAGCCCGTTTTTTTTGTACACAGCCGTTCTCTTTCACCTTCTCCAAGATATTATTTCAAACGTCAGTATATAGCGCGTAACAAGTAATCCTTGGGAATCCCTCTTATACAGTCGTGCGTATTTGTTATCCGAGTAGTATGGTATATAATAATCCCAAATAACAAAGAAACCAACTACAACTGGCCCACAACAATTTTTTTAAAAAGAAAAGTCGTGATTAATATTTACCTTCCGTGATCACTAGTAATCCTGTAAGAGGTGGGTTCAATTTGAACTTCACTCTGACCCCGCCCTCGTTAACGCCAAACCACGCGTGCAGTTGACCACTATAGCTCGGCAGAGCCACTGATGATGTAACCACGCTCTGCGTTAAACTTAACAGTACTAGTACTGGGTTCCACACGTGGAGCGAGGATGATACAGTCCACCCAGGGTAAAAAATACCCAGTCACTACCGAAGCGTCCGGTGGTCAGTATGCGGTGACTCCAGTACCTTGTTGACCTCAATATGACCAAGCCCAACGAGCCACTGTTTATTCGAATCAATGCCCACACTGGCGGCTTATTGTTACATTAGCTTAATCGAAGAGGGCGTGTTTGCCAACGGTTTAAATATACAGGGGGTTGGTCCACCGAGTTTCCAGACTTACTGCTCTAAAGCAGCGAGCTATAGTAGATATAAAATAATAATGATAAAAGAGATGATAGTGCAGATTAAAAAAAAAAAAATAGTGAATGAACCGTTTTTGAATGTAACGTAATGCGCTGAAAACTGTTGTGGAATTCCCACCTTTGAAAATTCCGCCCTTGAGATTTTACGTGCAGTTGTTTTTTAAAATGTGTAAAAGTCTAGAACTTTTTTAAAGACTGCAAGCGATAAAGATTGTTTAATATCCTTATGAAATAAACTAACGCTCACCATTAAATATAATTAATTTAGCACAGATCCAGTTGTTAATTCTGTGATTTGAATACCGTGCGTTTGTCACGCTGCAAAATTTATCCGTTTTGTGAGCTATTTGAGCGTTGTTATTCAAATTGTTTTTCTTTTCAGGAAAAAGAAAAGCGTGTAAAAGGGAAATATGTGTAAATGCGCCTATCAATGCCATTGCATTTCTTATCTGTATCAGCCCGTTTGCATATCATTACAAAATAATATCTTTCGCACGACAAGAGAGAACTGAATAATTTCATAATCGATTACTCTTTGGGTGTATTACAATTCTGCTCATAACAATACTTGCGCGCCAACGCCCAAAGTATAAATAGCAAATAAGAAAAGTGGACACCAAATACAATGCACGCGGTACCTGTTCGATTAGACTATTACAAAAGACGATTTCAGACTCCTACTAAGCAAACACGCGCTTAATGTCCAAGCTGCCGGAGAAAGGTGAAATTACACTAAGTACGGACCATTGAATGTCGTGAAGGGTCCCGCTCTCGTATTACTGAAGATTTAAGGACTGTACCTACACTTTGTAAATACGACAACACCCTGCGTTGTATTGTTGGTTGTTTATCTTCTGGTTTTTCAGGTCAAGGTTGTTTTTCGGGATATGTTTTCCTGTACCAGAGAAGATTTTTAAAATTTCGGTTTGCTACTAGTAGCTACAATTAAATGTAGCATTATGGAAAACTGAACGATGCACCAGGCGTAGGTTTTGCCGGTTGTTGCGCGCGATAAACCTTCCGGATTGTGGCTGCAGACAATAAACGCCATTTTACATCTTTTCTAAATAGGAATTTAAGAGAGCCTCACAAAACTGAACATTTATTTTGTAAATAATAAATAATAGTGTTAATAAAATTTTAAAATATGCCTTAATTGTCGATGAAGATGATATTTTTATCGTTGAAGTTACAAAAGGTGATTACGAAATTCTAAACAATGTGTAATTGAATAAAGACAAATATTCATGGTTTCGCGGGCAAGCCCTCTTAAATCAACTTCTGATAGAAATAGCAACACTTCTTACGCATGGAAAATGTATATAAAATGAGAAAAACACACATTTACATATTATAAGTTTGTCTTTATTCTCCATCTAGTTTACGCAGTGCGTGGGAAATTTGTTTAAATATACAAGGACGTTACTTGGCAATCCGTTTCTTGCAATGCAAACCAGCCCTCCCCCCCTCCACAAAAAAAAAAAAAAAAAAAAAAAACTTTTTTTACGAAGATAAAAAAATGTCCAAGTATCAGCCAAGTGTTGGGCCCTCTATCCTAGAGTGCACTACATATTGATTAACTTTGACCCATTCCACAACTTTCACCCTAAGACATACAGCAAATACACCTGTAAAATATGTTCTCACCAGTACCACAACAAGAACTATCCAACCTTTACACCCCAACTGATTCCTTATGGCATACCATGGGTGAAAAGAAAAAAAAGGGAAAAAAAACAATATTGCACTTTGCTTACACAACAGATATTCTAATTTTGATCAGTCCATTCTCAAGTACCACCCATACCAACATTACGAATTCATACACATAATTACATCAGTATACAGTGTAAACTATGTCTGTTATATTACAAGGTATAAGAGACCAGCTGTTTGAAAGCATGGAAAGAAGGTTGTCAACACTATCTCAAGTCTTCAGCTGAAAACATGCCCTAAAAAGAGAAAAATAATGTAATAACTGGCATGATCACAAAGGGGAGACTTTAAAAATACTTTGAATTCTGGTTTTCATCCCATTTTTTGCATATATACAATATCAGGGATCCTGTAAAAACATCAAACCAAAAATTGTCTGACAATACAATTTCAAATTCGTCTCTTATTATAGAAATGATGTGAACAAGAGGAAATTCATTGGAAGAGAACAATGTAAAAGTAAGTGTATAAAACCTCAATTTTGGCTCACATTTACAGATGTGAAGTACAGAACCCTATTTTTGAATATAAAAAATAAAAAGTGTATAAAAAGAGTTACCCTGGCCCTCCTGAGTATGGAGTCTTTAGCTGGATCATAGGGATGTTCTTTACTAGGAATCTCCAACACTGCAGGAATGGGTTGTGTATAGACATCAATGATATGACGGATCATTTCAGCTATCTGAAAAAAAAAAAAAAAGAAAGTGACCAGTGTTTTAAAGCAAATGCACATAAGTGGCTGGCTGAATTTTTTTCACTAGGGTAAAGGCAGGTATTTTTGTAGATGCGTTAGGAGTGGTAACACTTTGCTGTTGCTCAACTAACACACTCTTGTGTCAAACTGTGACAAAAGTCGGTCACTTATTCAGTTGTGCTATAATATAACCAAAATGGGGTAAAATGGACTACTGTAGGAAAAAAAGTTATAATTTCCAAGCTAGATTTCTCAACACATAAGAACCTTCAGCATATCCAACCATAAATAGCACAGACCCCCCCCCCCAAAAAAAAAGTACTTACATGCTGATTTATCAAAATAATAGCAATATCATCTCTAGTAACTAGGGCCTTGAAACCATCTTCTATTTCTGCGATACTAGTTGCTGAAAATATCATAACAAAAGAAAAAGTTGTATACAAATAATACAAAGTAACCAAATATCCACTTTTTATCTCTGATACTAAATATACTACTCAGAAAGATAATTTTTAAAATACACAAAAATTTAGCAATCCAGTAACCTATTTTTGAAGGAAAATTATCTGCAAATAACTTCCAAGCTGTCCTTACATTTTATGTATCTATTATATTTCACTGTAATTTACTGTCATTTTATCTTTAAGACATTGCACATCTGTGAAACTGTAAATTTCGTCAGTATATGGTGATACATAGTTTGTATATGATAATCTAAAATCAGTTGTTACTATACTTTTTCTTACAATATAAAACCAATTACTTATAATTTTCTGACTTTATCTTACTAGATATTTATACCTCATTTCCTTACCTTTGTCTACCACCAAAAAGTTTGGCTGCCTGTGTCTGTTGACCTCTCCTATGCCTCCCATCAGAAAACCTGTACATGTGTCCTGAAACAGAAAGAGTTTATTGAAATATATTAATATATTGGGGTAAACGAAGATTAGCAAACTTAGGGCAACAGCTGCTGGTCAGATTGGAAAATTAGTAGTCTGGGGCCATTGGGTTAGTGGTTATTGTCAATGATGATGACCAATTTTTATTAAAACTCTTACTCAGTTTACAATGTCAGTTAAAATACATCTGATAATTTAATCTGAATTATGACAAACCAGTATCTGATTAGTCAATATTTCAATTACAGGGTATTTGCTACCAAATATTATCATCCTGTAGATGAGAAAAATTACGGAAATGAGGAATACAGGTTATAAGATGTAACTGACAAAGACAAGATACCGACATTTAAACTAAATATAGAATTTTGAAGGTAGCACTAAAGAGTGAACCAAAACAGCAAAGAGTCACCCTCAGTACCAGGGGAATCATGTGACTAGTGCGGTCACCAGAGCACCGGAAAATGGGCCTAATACACACATCTATAAGTCATTTGTTTATATGTATCCTACATATTCGAGGAAATATATCTGTTAAATGTGCCTTACGAATTTCAAAATAAAACAGTACTTACTTCATCGCCAATTACTGCAATTAATCGACCTCTTGCGCTGGAGTGAGCCATACTGTTCAATGTCAAGGTCAACTAAATAAAACATACCCTCGAATAAAAATATTTCCTTTGCGGACATGTAATAGGTTTTTATGCTTCAAAATTGATACTGATAGTTAAATATAATAATGAATATGTAAATGTAAATGAAATCTGTCTTATATTCACAAGAATCATTAATCTGCATTTTAAGGTGTAAATTGTGAAGATTCTATGTCATTGAGAGTATATTATTATGTGATGGATGACGTATAAGTGTGCAGCAGGTATTTTTTACTGAGATCTAATTTATTTTGATAACCAACCCTGTTTATGGGAAGCGCATCCATATCGACAGACAAGCCATACATCTGGTGAGTTTGTCGTTTATGACAGATTCTTACGCATTTTATACATAACTGGAGATGTTGAAAAACCAAAATACTGAAGGGCATATTTGGGAATTTCCAATTTCAGACACGGGAATCCCATTTAAGGCTTTTACACTAAGCTCTTTCACTTCAGCTAAATCCAGAATTTGGCATTTTTCTAGAAGGTTCATATTCATAGCTTTCAAATGAAAGCTCTGATCCCTAACTTCGCCGTCACTTATGCTTCCAGGGACTTATTAGTTAAGTTCAGGAAGTGGAAAGTACCCATATTATCATTAGCGAGAGAAAACGATGTGTGGTTGCCCATAAGAGCACCCTATAATATTTGTACCTCATAACTTTCCTCATTGTTTAGATTGCAGGTCATTAGAGACACACTCAAGGAAGGTACTGTTGACCAGCTGAGACCTAGTAGGGATCACAATGTCTCTGGTGGAAGGCATAGGAGACGAGGTGATGATGGTAGTGGTGGTGTTTCTGCTTATGGCGGTGTTTCTGATTGCCTGGATGTCAACTAGCGTACACGAAAGGAACTTTGTCAGCATCCTCATCTTTGAGACCAGACACAGGTTGGTTTTTGTTTGCAATTGTGGAAATATTTTGTGCTTGTGTATTGTTGGAAGATGGGGTGGATAAGAACACACTCTCTCTCTCTCTATTTCTCTCTCTCCAGCTGTTGCTTTTTGATTTTCATAAATATGACCAGGATATGTTTACTAGTAGCTAGTAGTGGTATTTGTACAGATTGGATCATTTCAGTAATGTCTTACAGTAATTATACAATGTGTGCATTGAAAAGTTCAGGATGAATAAAAAATAATCACTGATGATAGATACCGTCAGTGTTTACAATCACATTTTTCACTGTGGCAAAAATAACACAGTGGACATTTTTATTTAATATTGACTACATTTTCAAAAGACATTGCCACTTCTTGTAGGTTAATGAACCAAGCAGCAGCAGGACAGGCACATGGTCAGAGCAATGAATCTGGGCCACACGTCCCACACCAGTCGGAATCTGTCCAGCCTCAAGAAACGAGATCAGACGAACACCAAAACGACAGGACTGAAGCTGTGCAGCCTCCTGCTTTTTCTTCTTCTGACACTTTGCCAAGGTCTGATGCTGCACAGAACGATGAGAACTCATCAGCTGTGGATGACTGTCAAAACAATACAACTGATAGTAACAATGTTGGGGGTGAATATGATGGTATCAACAGTAGTGAATCGCATTTATCAGAAAATGTAACAAATACTGGACCCACTGAGCCACCTGCAGTAAGTTCTCTCCCTGACACCCTGAGTGAATTACGAAGAAGGCGTGTGGAGGCTCTGACAAAGACATCAGCATCTGAAAGTTTAGAACAAGTGGCGCAGAGCTGTGGTCTTAACATGGAACAGCCGGAATTAAACTCCAGTCAATGGCAGAGTGAGAATCACTCCAGTCCGTCAGAGAGCACTTCACCTTCCCCAAGCCAAACTGAAGAAAACAGACACAGCCAATCAGAGGAGCGGACACAAACAAGCCAATCCGAGACTCCGGTGTATGACCCAGAGAATGGATTAATTCGACTTAGGTTGAGGTTTTTGTCAGAGGTTGAACGCCATGTACAGGGAAGAATGCAGGAAACAGTGGCTCAGTTAAGGAGGTATCTAAATGTGTTTTTTACTACTTGCAAGATGGTAACACCACCCATCAATACTTATAAATATACTCCTTTGTGAGAAACCTACTATTAATTGCATTTGAAGGAAAAAGGGTATTTAAGTTGCAGGATTATATGTTTGAAATTTATTATGATCTAGGCATGGTGATGTTTGTGTAAAAAATGAAAATTGTAGTGTTATGAAAACTTGATTTCTTCTCAATTTCAGTCGAGAATTTGCTGCTGAACTGGAAGAAAACAAGATCATACGTTTCATTTTCAACGGAAGAGAACTTAAACCCGACACACAGACTCTTCAGACATTTAACATTGGAGACAGCAGCATTATCCACTGTCTCATAGCTCAAGGAACTCAAGGTCAGACCCAAGGTCAGGGTCAAGGTCACCAACAGGAGCATATAGTTGACCTTGACCTGAGTCGCATGATGTTACCTTTATTTGGACTCATTTTGGCTATACTGTGGTATTTTAGGATCGTATACAAGGTCTATTTTAATCCCATGTCAACAATCACATTGGTTGGTTTTACTATTATGTTTGCAGTGGCTTTGGCCTCTGCATTTACGCCGCAGCGGCGCGAAGACAATGTGCAAGTGCACAGGCACCATGTGCATGCTGAATAGAGAAGTGTACATCAAATTTACAGTTAATATTTAATTTCAAGAAATTGTGGTAAGTTACTATCACATTTCATGTGTTTTAAGAACTGATTAACTTATGTGTATTTGGTTATGGCGATTACTGATACATATGGGCCAAAGCAATGTTTATGATGTACTCCTTATTTGGGTATGTTTTACATTTCAAGATTATTCAATGGTATTTTTTTTTTTTTACAAACTTGAAATGAAGCAAGTGGGAACATATCAAATATTCTGTGGAATGTATTGAAATAAAATGCAGTGAACATTTGCAACTTGTTAGGTAAGATTTATTGTATATCGGCATGTATTATCTGAAAAGAAATATATTTGCAGAGATAATGGCAAAATATTTCTGATTCCACTTGAATAAAACAGAAGAGCCATGTACGAAAGTAATGAGTCCTTCTCACAATATTATTGCTGATCACTTTGAGCAACTTACTTCATGATCTACTGTAATTTATTTCATCCAAGTAGCGATGTCATATCACAACCCACATTTAATCATAAGGACAATTATGTATTATTTTCCAATTCTGTTTAATCTGACAGACTAGATATTTTCTCTTGATAATTACAGTATATCACAAATCATAAATGATTTGGTAATGGCTCACGGTTAAATTCCTTTTAATAGAAAATACTTTCGTGATCATTTTAGCCATAGTGTCACTTAAAAAGGTTATAATAATTATCAATTTGATGAAGTCATGGTTCTCTCCTTTGTCATAATTTATGTTTAAAAAAATCAAAGGTTGGCACCATTCCTATAACTGTGTTGGAGAAGATGGCCAAACACCACCATTGTGTTAGTTGTGACACTTTGCCCTGCACATCTAGCACAATCACCCCTCATCATAACTGTGCTTTCCACTCTTTTTCCTCGGGTAAAGGTTTGAAATAGCTTTCCACCACTTCATTAGTCACTTCTTCCAGTGTTGCAGGGTCCCACTTTGGACTCTGGTCTTTGTCTACAAGCACTGAAGAATACAATGACATAAAAACTTGAAGGTGGAAATACTGCTGCGCAACATTGGGTACAATTTCTACATTTAGTCCTTAGTAAACTTTCAGCCCTCTCATTCATTCTATACCCTGTCCTTCCACCTTTGTCCAATTTCCCCTCCCATCCCCTTCCTGGTATAACAGACATGCTTTACCTGCTCTAACTCCCTCGTAGAAGTCTTTCCCCCTCACACACCCCTGTGTCATCCTGTACTCCATCCTCAGGCACTCCTCCAGGCTGAGTTTACCACCCACTTGGAGCTGACGCAGGGTGATCTTCATGGAGGTTGGAGACTGGAGATAAAGTTCACATACTATTTTAATTTATAGGTGGCATTTTTATGACTGTTCTGACTAAATTATTGTGAATCATGATGTCTGATATATATGTCATATTGTGTTGTATTATTGGGTTTTGTTTTGCATTTTTTTATAACAATTAATAAACTACACAAGCCACAGACCGTGTAAAAATGAACCCAAAGTTCTCATGAAATACAAATTATACAATATTAAATGGCATCTGACTTTATAGTTATTTATTCAATGCAAAAGAGATTGTGGTAATGTTCCTAACCCTTCCTTACCATCTTTTTCAATGTTTCTAACTGTTTTGTAGCCCACTCAGAACCATTTTTTTCTAATGCTGACATTATTTCCTCTACAGTTTCTCCCCCAAAATTACGATTGATGTCATCTAGGTGGGATTGCAGTACAAATTCCTTGTCTGGAGAGCACTGTAAGGAAATCAGAAACTGTGTAACAATTGGGTATAGTTATTGAATTAATTCCTTGGGGTTCACTATCAGGGAATATAAAAAGTATCATGTAATGGTATAGACCATATATTAATTTTTATTGATGGACCTCATTCAGTATGTTGCTTGTGAAATGAGGTGTCGTCCATATCATAGAAACCAGTCACTGTATTGGTGTATTTGTTACGGTTTGTAGCAGAGTATAACTTTCACAGATATACTATGAAAACATGGCTCAAGCACAGAATGAAAGAACTTCTATTCCATAACAAACTGATGAAATATCATTTCTAAGAACAGTATGCACATGGCTAAAAATAAATATTGTAAATTAATAATATGGATCAGATCTGTAACATTTTGATCCACTTACCTTCCTATGGTAGTCCTCCAATACATTGGAAATATCTTTTTCTGTTGGGGATGGTAATTTCACAAGTGCATCAAACATATCTGGAATCTATGAAAATTACTACAACTTAGTTTTAATGACCAAAAACAAAATAAATACCAGTAAATTTGAGAGATAAGAATAGCTGTATATAATTCTTGTTTCACAGAAAGAAAAGTTTGCAAAAAGAAGAAAAAAGTACTAGCATGAAGAAAACTTGAGACCTTGCAAGTGACCCAAAATGCCTTCCCCCCTCTCCCTATCTGCCACCAGAAATGTCCATTTTCCTTACCTTACTTGAGTCCACAAAATGTGTCGCTACGCCTGCCTTCTGAACATCTGCTCCTTTTAACCTAAATCCTGTCAACGCCAGGTAATTCCCAAGATGGCTGCCCAGTCGAGGCAGGAAATAACCTCCACCTACATCTGGGAAAAGACCTGGAAAAATGTGGAATTTGTAAAAAAAGTTCACAAAAATAATCATCATGTCTGCTTTTGATGAGGTGTTTTTATGTGAGGTTATTTTATTATTAAAAGTGCATCATCTGTACAATGTAAAGATAATAATTTCCATTAATTTTTCATTAAAACCAGTGTGTACTCTACTTTAATGTTCCTTGTTCAGAGCTTCTCTTTTCAACATATTTTCCAATTTAGAAGGAAATCAATTTAAAAAATCATCATAAAACTGATAAAAAAATTAATATTGAAAAGAAGACTATCCAAGGACCCTGAGAAAGGTCTACAGATTGCAGTAACCTTAGAATTAAAAGCTGTTACAGCTGGACATCTGTCTGCAATGATACATTTGATAGTAGTTATTAACATGTTTTACCACTCTATTAAGATTGTACATGTCTCACCTATTGCAGTCTCAGGCATGGCAAATAAAGTTTTCTCTGTGGCAACCCTGAATTTACCATGGACTGACAAACCAACACCCTGTAATGAAAAAAAATAATNAATAATCCCACTGAGTTGGAGGATAATAAGGCACTGTAATTCATCTATAGCATTAATGTTGACATTACACAAAAATGATTTCAATTTCTAATGTGCATCTAGACTCCATGTTGGTAATTGTCACAAGGTCATCAGATAAGTCTAGAAGTGGCCCACCTACTGGTTCATAGTACCGTATTGAGAAGGCTGCTCTGTTGGAGGTATTCTAGTAGCTGTGGTGAAAAATGATTCTATTCTGCACTGCTTATTAGAAGAAGCAATCCTTTTCTGTGCCTTGAAAAACTTACTACTTGATAACAATGAAAAATGGTCAATCTTCAAATTCATCACGATCACAAATGTAACGGCAACTGAAACTGCAAAATAAATATAATTGTACAAAATTGTACACATGGCTTATTAACTTTCCAATCATGATAATATTTCATCGATTTAATCATAATGTTCCCCACACAAAAATAAATCAAGAACGCACTTATGTCGCTAAACATTGTGGTGCGCACGGCATCGATCGTCACGTGGTCGTGTAAGCATTTTTAGAAGAAAAATATTCTTTTTTCTTTGGATACAACAAACTGTTAAAGAAAAATAAATTTACCAAAATTCTCATTAATACAAGATTATACGACAATTAGTCACCCGAAGACAGGAACTAATTAGAAGACAGAATACGTGGACCATTATAAACCTTTCACTGTTGAAAGTAACTAATTAACTTACACCAAAATAAGCTCCAACTGCTGAAAAGTTATTCATTCACTTTTTATTTTACATTCCAAAGCTTAAATTTTGTATGTAATACAATTTTGTTTACATATCAGATAAAAAAATCACCTTACCTTTTCAAAAATCTTTGAAAGCATTGCCACATCGTTCTCCGCGGATCATATTTTGAGCGCCATGTGCTGACTGCTAGTGCGGGCTATCCCGCACTGAAAATTTGGTTGCCTAATTCCGTTAGTCATATGGGTGTGGAATGATTATTATACATACATTTATTTATTATTTTCTTAATCGTTTTAATTTTATTTTCACACCTACAAGGCTAGAATGTACATCACACGACTCGGAGCATCGTCTCTAAATTGTTGCCTCGTTTTCAATTAGTCTTTCTGCACGAAACGGAGGCATCTATATATGTACACTTTCACTTGGACGCAGGCAACGATGTAAACAACGATGTAAGCGTGGTGACTTCTATTTTTTAATGCAAAACCAAAGCAAACGCACTGAAAGGTGATTAACGTTTTATTGTATTAAAAACAGTTTCGCAAAATTTGCGAACGAGTAACATTTTGTTTTCGCATTTCTGAAATGCAATTCGCTATAGCGAACTTTGCGAGCGTCTAGCGTGAGCCCAGATGATGTCTGATATATATGTCATATTGTGTTGTATTATTGGGTTTTGTTTTGTATTTTTTTATAACAATTAATAAACCACACAAGCCACAGACCGTGTAAAAGTGAACCCAAAGTTCTCATGAAATACAAATTATACATATTAAATGGCAGCTGACTTTATTGTTATTTATTCAATGCAAAAGAGATTGTGGTAATGTTCCTAACCCTTCCTTACCATCTTTTTCAATGTTTCTAACTGTTTTGTAGCCCACTCAGAACCATCTTTTTCTAATGCTGACATTATTTCCTCTACCGTTTCTCCCCCAAAATTACGATTGATGTCATCTAGGTGGGATTGCAGTACAAATTCCTTGTCTGGAGAGCACTGTAAGGAAATCAGAAACTGTGTAACAATTGGGTATAGTTATTGAATTAATTCCTTGGGGCTCACTATCAGGGAATATAAAAAGTATCATGTAATGGTATAGGCCATATATTAATTTTTATTGATGGATCTCATTCAGTATGTTGCTTGTGAATGAGATGTCGTCCATTGGTGTATTTGTTACGGTTTGTAGCAGAGTATAACTTTCACAAATATACCATGAAAACATGGCTCAAGCACAGAATGTAAGAACTTCTATTCCACAACAAACTGATGAAATATCATTTCTAAGAACACTATGCACATGGCTAAAAATAAATATTGTAAATTAATAATATGTAACATTTTGATCCACTTACCTTCCTATGGTAGTCCTCCAATACATTGGAAATATCTTTTTCTGTTGGGGATGGTAATTTCACAAGTGCATCAAACATATCTGGAATCTATGAAAATTACTACAACTTAGTTTTAATGACCAAAAACAAAATAAATACCAGTAAATTTGAGAGATAAGAATAGCTGTATATAATTCTTGTTTCACAGAAAGAAAAGTTTGCAAAAAGAAGGAAAAAGTACTAGCATGAAGAAAACTTGAGACCTTGCAAGTGACCCAAAATGCCTTCCCCCCTCTCCCTATCTGCCACCAAAAATGTCCATTTTCCTTACCTCACTTGAGTCCACAAAATGTGTCGCTACGCCTGCCTTCTGAACATCTGCTCCTTTTAACCTAAATCCTGTCAACGCCAGGTAATTTCCAAGATGGCTGCCCAGTCGAGGCAGGAAATAACCCCCACCTACATCTGGGAAAAGACCTGGACGAACATGGAACTTGTAAAAAAAGGTTCATGAAAATAATCAAGTCTGCTTTTGATGAGATGTTTTTATGTGAGGTTATTTTATTATTAAAAGTGCATCATTTGTACAATGTAAAGATAATAATTTCCATTAATTTTTCATTAAAACCAGTGTGCACTCTACTTTTAATGTTCCTTGTTCAGAGCTTCTCTTTTCAACATATTTTCCAATTTAGAAGGAAATCAATTTAAAAAATCATCATAAAACTGATAAAAAAATTAATATTGAAAAGAAGACTATCCAAGGACCCTGAGAAAGGTCTACAGATTGCAGTAGCCTTAGAATTAAAAGCTGTTACAGCTGGACATCTGTCTGCAATGATACATTTGATAGTAGTTATTAACATGTGTTACCACTCTATTAAGATTGTACACGTCTCACCTATCGCAGTCTCAGGCATGGCAAATAAAGTTTTCTCTGTGGCAACCCTGAATTTACCATGGACTGACAAACCAACACCCTGTAATGAAAAAAAAGAAATCCATTTTTATAATAGAAATCAAGTCATAAATATCATGTGTGTTTAAGGAAAGGACCTAGCTGCTTAATATGTTGAAAAACTCACAATTCTTCAAAAAAATCTCATGTTTTGCAATCTGGTTGTCTTTTGCCATTAGTTCAACTGTTTCCAGTCTAAGCGCGTCCTGCTATGATCACGACTTTGCCTTACCCCTCCCATTGTGATTCCATTAATGATGGCAACATATGGGGTTTTGAGCGTCCCAATAGCATTATTGAGAATATACTCCTCTCTGAAGAAATCTTGTGCCAGCCTATCTCCAACCTTCCCTGCTTCTGTTACAGCTGTAAATGGAGAAATAACATCCTCAAACACTCTACAATCAGTAATGTAAGGGCTTGGCTCCTAAACAACAATGAATTAAAGCATTCACTGGCTTAGGCTAGGTTTTATTTACTTCACATGTACATGAACACATTGAAGTTATCAAAGAAAATTTCTTAAAAAGTCTTTTCTTGGCCTGAACTGGCCCTTTGGGTCCTGTTTGCCAGCACTTTTTAAAAAAATAAATTAGTTCATGATTCACCACATCTGAAATAGCAAAGACTGATCGAGCTTGGTCATCAAATTACATGGACATTTGGACCAATGCAATTATGGTGGTCTACTCCTCATTTTAGGAGCCAGTGAACTGACAGTAAACTCACCTACTACATCGCCTCCTGCACAGAAAGCTTTGTCTCCTGAAGCCTTGATAACCACCAGATGGATGTTAGGGTCCTTCTCCCAGGACTGGGAATAGGAAAAACATTTTTTATAAAATAAACTACTTGTCAAAATTCTTATCCTTTACCTGAAAGTGCAATACAGATTGTTTTAATGCATTGCAAAGTAGTTAGGCTTCTTATCCCTGTTCTTAATGAGTACATAATTAATCCCCCTGAAAAAATAAATGAGGTTAATTTTTTCTGTCAGTGATCTAAATAAAAAATAAAATGCTATAAAATTATTAACTTTAATTTAATCTCAGGTCTTAATAAACAAAAAGAAAATTTCTTTAAACTACACAAAACATGAAGCTATCTTTATCAGCTCTTAATGTTACATAAAAATATCTCAGATATATCACAGTGGTCCTTTCTTCAAGTACTTCCAAAGCTTATCTATCTAGATTCCATCTATTCCCTACTTTTAACTGTGGGTAGATTCTCCTGATCATGGGCAGGTCCAGTGTGTTCAGTTTCTTTGGCCTGTCCAGTGTTATGACACCAGTGGTGTTCACGGTGTCCAGTATCACACCATCCTGAGACACCGCCGTCGACATCGGGGCAGACCCATGCTGATGATATAAATCATGTTTAAGGTAAATGATATTTTGTTTCATAAAATTGATAGAACACCTTCTCTTGTATCTCTGGGTGTCTAAATCTGTGATGCACACAAGGGGCGATGATTTTCCTAAAAATTTACTTTATATCATTGGTCCAGGAGTTAGTAATTATATAAGACATTATCAAATTAATTGCCTGTTTTATTACCAAAATGAAAAAGTATAGCTTCAATAACTACACTGTATATAGCTACTGTTTTTAAAAAGATATATAAATGTTGTGGCATTTTAACAAGAATAAGTGTCTTAGTTAGAACAGCATCAATATTTCGTACTTACAATCTGCCCACTGAGTACCCTTGTCCTTCTGAGGGCCCTGAAATAAATGGGGTACAGTTCATACAATACTGCCATATATATCAATAAAGAAGCATTAAGCTTTACATTATAAAAAATTTCATGCAGAATGCATTAAGAGGACTAATAACTAAATTTATCATATGGTTATACTATTTCATAACTGATCAAAAATCCAATATTCTAATTAATTAATTAAAAAATAAAGCCTTAAAATTGTATTGTAAGATATAAATTTTTCAATCTAAAATCTTACAAACATTTACATCTTTAAAAAATTCATGTTAAGTTCACCATCAAACTGAACTAAGCTTTCTGAAGACAAGGCAAATTTCATTTTAATAAAAAAAATAATAATTTAAAAGTTTGGACAAACAAATGAAGAAAAATAGTCCAGCTATCTGATATTTGGATTAGTAATGTGCCTAGTTCTCCAGTCCCAGCCAGGCTCATAAAGCAACAGGCTATATTTAGCTCAAGAACAGGTAAAATACCATGTAATTTATGTGCCCTAGTTCAGGTATGACATGAATTCACAGGTACTGCCCAGAACATAGAGAGTTACCTGCTGGAGGCTGTCTGACAGGATAAAGTATCCATCCTATGCTATGCCAGTTGTAGACTGCTTTGGGGTTTATATTTGTATCACCAAGCTAGAGGAGCTACACAGAGTGTAAGTACTAAACCTTTTAAAACAACTAACAAAGTTCATTTGACTTGTATGTACTGTAGTATATGTATGTTACTGGTACTTTGTAAGTTTACGCCAATGTTTATTTGACCTCAAAAGACGATAAAGCTGTTAAAAAACACTCTTATTATTGGTCTTTATCTCTTTGATTTTATTTGGGTAATCAATACTTGAACAAGGAAGTAAAAACTATACAAAACATAAATGCACTTAGATGATTTATGGAGATTTTCTGACATTTGGCTTCTGGTCAGAGCAGACAGAATTCAGACTGGGCATGCATGCATTAGGTACCCACATCTGACATGCTATATACATGTGCCTTACACTTTGTATATGATACCTGTAGGTGTTTATTATGTTGCCTAACTGAATACATAGAAAGAGGGACGAGTATTTGGTTTTATAATCTTTTAATCTTTCAGAGTACTGGTATGAACTTAACCCACGGCTTTTAGTGAACACTGCATGTAGTGGTGTACCCTGATTTATCAAAAATACACAGTGGTTCACCCCACAGAAGGCACTTAATTAGAACAAAAGTATTAGATCAGACTGTATTTCACTTACATGTACAAGAGAGGTAATATGCTTGTTTGAATAAATAAAGTTTTTTAATTTTTTTTTTTTTTCGCATGTTGCATGCTCTTTTTGGACCTCTTGTAAACAAAGTACAGTGCAAATTATCCTATTGTTTGAAGTGCCTACCGTTGGTTATACCGGGTATGTTAGGTACAAGATAAGTGGTCCAATGCATGCAATACATGTATACAAGGGGCGCAGTTATTTTAACTACTCCTCGTTATAATTATACTCTTGTATATTGCCTACAGGGTGACTTGTCCAATAACTAGTATTATACTATACATAATGCTGAGAGAGAAAAGGAAAGGACTGGAGAAAGAGTACCTGTGTCAGAAGACAGATTTGAGCCCCTTGGATTGTACAAGTAGACCCTTTTCTCCACCCTCTGAAATACTACACAAATAACTCAAACGAAAAGTGGGGGTTGCATGGGCCTGTAGGCAGGGGTGGGGGTGGGGGGTGGGAGTGTTTGAAAGAATTTAAATGTCCTTTTGGTCAGCAAAGGTCCACTCAGCATCAAACTTTGACCTAAGTTTTATGCTATTTTTATAATTTGGTAAATTAAGGGCATAAAAAGTTAGCTGGTTACCTGAGATTTACCAGTCTATAATGATCAGAGAGGTGAAGTCCCCTCCTGAGTGTGTACCACCAGCTGGGTATAAGGTAAAGGACATGGATGGTAGTATTTATGATACTTATTCAAGAAATATGAATACAGGGTGAGATAAGGAAAGCACATCCCTCAATTAAAAGAGAGAAAGAGAGAGAGAGAGAGAGAGAGAATGAGAGAGAAATCTTGACCTAAGATAACAAATGCATATTACCCCAGTATAGTGTCTCAACATAAGACAAACTGTCTCAATTTTTTTATTTATATGCTAATTGCGTTCTCTTATTTCTTATAGGTCTGTCTCGGTAACCTATCAGTAGCAGCCTATGATATGGCCCAAGTCAAGGAATCAACCATAGCAATATACTAAGCACAAAATACAAGGAGAGGACATTTTTACAGAGTATCAGCAGACTGGAGACATTCAATTATTCACAACAAATCTATAGTAAATTGTCTCCTCAGTCCAAGCAAAAAGAAAGTACCACTTTTCATAATGAAATAATAAAAAAAAAAAATTTAATGAAAATCATTTAAGGAGTGAAACAAGCTTTACAGTAAAACATTTTTTGACAGCGAAGCACCAAGGTGGATTTAATGTAAATTCTGATCTTTTGAAGATGGCCGGAAACTTTGACCCAACAGCAGCAATTGTTACCATGGTAACAGTTCTTGGGGTAATATTTGCCTTGTATGTTCTCATTCGATGTTGTTGCAAAATGCATGAAGCCAGGGAAAGAAAGAAAAGGAGAGCAGAAATGGCCATGGACAACCCTACTGAGCTACAAGACACAGACTACAGAAAAATAGAGGGCAGCACTATGGATGAAATAAGGTCACATACCCCAGAATTCACTGCTTACAGTTCAGAGTTGACTGATGAAAGAAATCTGATCAACTAATTGTTGTGCAAATGTCTTAAAAAGGCATACCATCCATTATTGTATATATATTAGCAACAATTAAAAAATACCTTTTTTTCATTAATCTATATAGAAAATGTTAGTTTAAAAGTGCCAATGAAAAAAATGAAATAATTAAGGTGCTAAAAGCATATTATGTGATTAAATGAAATATCTTTAAGATATTATTAAAATGGACTTAAATATTATGCAGAAAATAGAACATTTTTTCCATCCCAAAATGGAGAATAAAGATTGCCTCAAATGCTTTATTGAAACCGTGGGACTATGTCATAAATACAGAACGTGTCAAAGTTCAAAATGTGCAACAATAAATATTTATAACATGAAATCTGCTACAAGTCATTGTGTTAGTTGAGAACATTCCAAATACTGATTGGGAAATCTTTCATAAATTGCAAACTGGAAAATATTTGATTAATATCTGGGATGCTGAATCCTGCTGCCTTTTTTGAGATAATATAACATATTGACATATTGCCATTAGCAACAGGCCTGTTGAGGCACTCCTTGGGGGGGGGGGTCAGGGTGGGTGGGTGGTGGTGGGGGAGGGGGGGGAGCTGGTGGTGAGAGAGGAGCAAAAAAATCACCCATTTGGCTAAAAGTGTTAATTTTGCTCTGAATCAAAATTTAGTTAAGATTCCATGATGATTCTCATATAAATATACCAAAGTACGGATACTTACGTTTTAACTGCTATACGCAAAAACAGCATTTAGACACCTGAAAGACAAAAAAGTATGAACCTTATAATCACTTCAAAGCAAGAGAGAGAGAGAACACGCTGTATGTAACACTGTCTTAATTATCTGTATCAAAAGACTAAAACATTATGGTTCTAACATATAATTATGCTATAGGAGGTTTTGCTCCCTTCCAAAAGTTAGCTTACTAAGTAATGGTAATTGTTTATATCAATCAATATTATTCCTGTTCAACTGACCACATCAAGTGTCATATGCTCTGTTTGACAATTCAAGCTTGCATTAATAGCAATATAAGCTAATAAGTTGTCAATCTCTCAAAAAGGTGCCAAACAGAATTTGAGAAAAGTGTATACTAGTACTGCTTGATGTGAAAATACATAAGTGACTGATGACTTAATTCAGAAACAGGTATAGTACAGCAGGACTAGTGCTTTAAATTAAGTAAAATCACAAAGAGAGAGAGAGAGATGCATGAGCATTTACTAGTGAATACGTTCTACCAGTACCAGTATATTATTATGAATGAGTACTACATGTAGTCAAGCACCACATGTACTGGGTAGCTGACTCCATTGTAAATGTTCTGATATTGGTCAATGTTATCAAGTTTTCTTCATTTTAATATAAAATATAATTACTTACATAAGTAGTACAATGGATATTTCGCCTAATTTTTCCTGGAATACCATGACTGTACTGGTACAAGTGTTCTGAAGTAGTGGTATACTACACGTGTGCTTTTTAATTTCAAAACATTATGCTTATAATTTACTAGCACAGAACTTTACTGAAGCAGTGAAGGCAGTCGCACTGTCTTGAAGCCGATGTATCTACTATTAAACATATCGTAATTAAGGAATAGCACATCACCATCCAACATACCTGAGGTTTTCTGTTAATAATGTGTTAGCCAGAATCATTCACCTTGCCGCTGCCTGCGGTCCACAAAATACGAACTCTGACCCCGTCGAATTCACCCTGATAAGCTTACACGGTCCCCGGCTTCTTTTGTAAAAGGAGACCAGAAAACAATGTAAACAGAGTCGGCACCTCACTGTGGACCAAGCAGCATTTTGTGTGTCCATTTTAATTTTACAAAGGGTAAGGAGGTCATCTGTACACTGATCACTGATCAAGTCAAAAACGAAGGCAAGTAGGTGTAGGCTTTCATCTTACTTTGATGTCTTCACTGAAGACATCACTTTAAAATGAAATAGTTCACCAGTTTGACTGCACTACTGCAGTATTTCACTTAGTACATGTACTACAGAGCGTTAAATTTATACACTTTGCCCCTCTGTGCCCCCACCCCCTACAAACTGCCTGTCACTGAATCAGCTAAATAGTAGATCGTTACTCGTTTAGCTGTTAAATAGGTATGAATTCCCTTATTTTGCAATTACATCCATGATTTTTCCCCAAGTATTCGTTTTATACTTTACAAGGATCAGTTATTGATTTGTCAATTGTTTTATTCATTGCAGAATGGTTCATATACATGCATGCATAAGATGGTGAAATTATAGAATAGCATCCAATCAGAAATTCACAATGGCATCGGAGGAGTTTCTCAAGCAGAGCAAGTTGCCGTCTGATTACGAAGACAAGAAACAAAAGATGTGTCAGTTTGTGACCAGAAATGCTGACAAGAAATGTGTACTTGTGACGGTAATTACACTGTAATAAAAACATAAATCATTGCTTTGTATTTGTTGATTTAATGGCTAGAAGTTNATATGCTCTGTTTGACAATTCAAGCTTGCATTAATAGCAATATAAGCTAATAAGTTGTCAATCTCTCAAAAAGGTGCCAAACAGAATTTGAGAAAAGTGTATACTAGTACTGCTTGATGTGAAAATACATAAGTGACTGATGACTTAATTCAGAAACAGGTATAGTACAGCAGGACTAGTGCTTTAAATTAAGTAAAATCACAAAGAGAGAGAGAGAGATGCATGAGCATTTACTAGTGAATACGTTCTACCAGTACCAGTATATTATTATGAATGAGTACTACATGTAGTCAAGCACCACATGTACTGGGTAGCTGACTCCATTGTAAATGTTCTGATATTGGTCAATGTTATCAAGTTTTCTTCATTTTAATATAAAATATAATTACTTACATAAGTAGTACAATGGATATTTCGCCTAATTTTTCCTGGAATACCATGACTGTACTGGTACAAGTGTTCTGAAGTAGTGGTATACTACACGTGTGCTTTTTAATTTCAAAACATTATGCTTATAATTTACTAGCACAGAACTTTACTGAAGCAGTGAAGGCAGTCGCACTGTCTTGAAGCCGATGTATCTACTATTAAACATATCGTAATTAAGGAATAGCACATCACCATCCAACATACCTGAGGTTTTCTGTTAATAATGTGTTAGCCAGAATCATTCACCTTGCCGCTGCCTGCGGTCCACAAAATACGAACTCTGACCCCGTCGAATTCACCCTGATAAGCTTACACGGTCCCCGGCTTCTTTTGTAAAAGGAGACCAGAAAACAATGTAAACAGAGTCGGCACCTCACTGTGGACCAAGCAGCATTTTGTGTGTCCATTTTAATTTTACAAAGGGTAAGGAGGTCATCTGTACACTGATCACTGATCAAGTCAAAAACGAAGGCAAGTAGGTGTAGGCTTTCATCTTACTTTGATGTCTTCACTGAAGACATCACTTTAAAATGAAATAGTTCACCAGTTTGACTGCACTACTGCAGTATTTCACTTAGTACATGTACTACAGAGCGTTAAATTTATACACTTTGCCCCTCTGTGCCCCCACCCCCTACAAACTGCCTGTCACTGAATCAGCTAAATAGTAGATCGTTACTCGTTTAGCTGTTAAATAGGTATGAATTCCCTTATTTTGCAATTACATCCATGATTTTTCCCCAAGTATTCGTTTTATACTTTACAAGGATCAGTTATTGATTTGTCAATTGTTTTATTCATTGCAGAATGGTTCATATACATGCATGCATAAGATGGTGAAATTATAGAATAGCATCCAATCAGAAATTCACAATGGCATCGGAGGAGTTTCTCAAGCAGAGCAAGTTGCCGTCTGATTACGAAGACAAGAAACAAAAGATGTGTCAGTTTGTGACCAGAAATGCTGACAAGAAATGTGTACTTGTGACGGTAATTACACTGTAATAAAAACATAAATCATTGCTTTGTATTTGTTGATTTAATGGCTAGAAGTTATTGTTCATCTGAAGTTTGATTACCAGTAATCATTTATTTGTATAAATATACTGATATGTTAACCATAAAATTTGTAAAATATTTTGTCTAACTTAATTGCTGTATGCTTATTTTATTACTTAAAATTTATTATATTTATACTGGGCTCACAGCTAGTCAGACTAAACATGTATTGGTATATAATATATGGACCAAACGCCATGCAATGACAAGCTTTCATGAGTACAAGTTAACTAACAGATGTCTGTCTCTCACATTTCAGTCAGGCGGGACCACTGTACCACTTGAGAGTCGCACCATACGCTACATTGATAACTTCAGTGTTGGAACGAGAGGATCAGCATCTGCAGAGTATCCTTGCACTGAGCAAGTCCAGGATGGTTTAGGGATGTGTTGTGGATTCTGCTTGATACTAGTGCCTGTTCAAAAATACAACTAGTAGAGGCAATTTGAAAGATTGGTTTTAACAAGCAGAAATCTCCTGTCCATATGTTTTTCTTAATTGGTCAGTGAAGTTTATGTTTCACAGCATATATAAAGGTGTAGGTCTTATTATGTAACATTTTTAGGGGTTTTTTTTCACCTCTAGATGAAATTGTGATTGTCTTGACAAAGTTTTTTCTTTAAATTTACTTTCATTGGTAGCAGTAGTCTATACAGCTTCATCACTCAGCTACGCTGATTATGGGCCACCTGTTAACAATTTAGACCAGTGCTGCAAAGTCAGCTTTACATTGTCGGCTATCAGTTGGCAAGTTTAGCAAGCTAAGTTAAAACCCAAGGACTATTGACTTTCTGTAAAGTTTGGTACATGTAACATGCAGAAGCAGCCAGTTCTCACTTGATTTTTCTTGACTTCCTGCCATAGATATTTTCTTGCTCAGGGTTATGCAGTTCTGTTTCTTCATCGTCACCGTTCCTTGGAGCCATTTTCCAGGCATCTGTCAAAGATAAATGTACTGGATATAGTAAAATCATCACGTAACACCCTATCAGGTATGTCAGAGAGTTAAGTGTTGAGTCAATATTTACAGGTAATACGTTCAATATTTTATTAATTAGCAAATGTAAACATTTGAACAAAAATACTTTGTAAGTGAAGGATTGTTTTTCTAGTCATCAATATGCAATGAGCTTTGTTTTCATTAGCAGTTGACCTTTTTTTAGCTTTATTTTATTTTAATTTTGTTTTTGAAAAATCATTTATTTTCTTATTTTTAAACAATTTTAACCTTATTACAATACTATATTACTGTTACAGTATGATATTAATTAAAATCCTTGTATACCAAAATTATCTCCCAGTCTCAGAGGATTGGACATCCAGGATATCTGCCATACTGGAGAAATACAACCAGGTGAAGAGTGGCGGAACCTTGTTACAGATAGAGTTCACCACTGTGGGGGAATATATCCACCTGCTAAAGGCAGCCGCTGATGCTATGAGACCTCTGGGGCCACGGGCCATGCTGTATCTGGCAGCCGCCGTGTCAGATTTTTACATTCCTACGGATGAGATGGTAAGTGAACTCGTAGCCAGAGGTACACAGCAGGCGCATCTGCCTACCTCAATTTGATAATTTATTTGTATTTTCACATGGCAGGGCCCTAGCCAGAAATTTCAAAGTGGGGGGGATCTTTTTTTCTGAAAAAGTGGATCTTTTACTATGAAACATTTGTGTACCAAGATAAAATTTTACCCAGAGGGAATCTTCTCCCAGCGAAAAAGGGGGGTTCTTTTGACCCCCCCCCCCATTTTTATTTTTTAATTTTTATTTTATAGCATTTTTTAAGTAATTACAAGAAGATACTGTCGCAGCGTTGAGGTAATGGAAAATATTTAGATATTAATGTTTTTTATTAGCTATTATTTGTCCTGTTAATTTTCACAAACATTTTTAAAACTTAATTAGAAAAGTGTTCCATGTCTCACCCATTTAAAGTTTACCCCCTCCCTAACTATAATTGTGAACTGTTTTGTAGTTTTTATTCAATTTGAAGGGATTCTTTCATCTTACTTTATAATTTGTATTTGTACATATTTCACCTTGCAGCCTGAGCACAAGATCCAGTCTGGTAACGGACCACTGCAGATCTCACTCCAACTCGTCCCTAAGATGCTAAAACCTCTCGTCAAGGAGTGGATACCTCAGGCATTTGTTATTTCTTTCAAGGTATTTTGACGATGAAAACATTTTCTTTCTTTCTAAAAGATGGTAAAACTATTTTGAATCAATGAAAAAAAAGCATTCAGACCCGGACTGTTTCGATTTCTGGCTACAGCCAAAGACTTTGTGTGATACAAAAAATATTTAGGTAAATGTGAAATTGTGTATAAAGGTGTCTTTATTTATTTCCAGCTGGAAACAGACCCTAGCCTTCTTCTAAAGAAAGCAAAAGAAGCACTTGAAAAGTACAGCCATCAGGTAAGTATATTACATATTCAGTTTAAACTACCCTGCATAGATTGCATCGATTAACACTTTTGGTAAAGAGACTAATCTTAGACTAGTCTGCATGTTTATTGGTGCTGAGGTAATACCTTTAAAACTGTTTCCTAATTTCTATTTTTTTTATNCTAGGCTTTCATCTTACTTTGATGTCTTCACTGAAGACATCACTTTAAAATGAAATATTTCACCAGTTTGACTGCACTACTGCAGTATTTCACTTAGTACATGTACTACTGGTACAGAGCGATAAATTTATACACTTTGCCCCTCTGTGCCCCCACCCCCTACAAACTGCCTGTCACTGAATCAGCTAAATAGTAGATCGTTACTCGTTTAGCTGTTAAATAGGTATAAATTCCCTTATTTTGCAATTACATCCATGATTTTTCCCCAAGTATTCGTTTTATACTTTACAAGGATCAGTTATTGATTTGTCAATTGTTTTATTCATTGCAGAATGGTTCATATACATGCATGCATAAGATGGTGAAATTATAGAATAGCATCCAATCAGAAATTCACAATGGCATCGGAGGAGTTTCTCAAGCAGAGCAAGTTGCCGTCTGATTACGAAGACAAGAAACAAAAGATGTGTCAGTTTGTGACCAGAAATGCTGACAAGAAATGTGTACTTGTGACGGTAATTACACTGTAATAAAAACATAAATCATTGCTTTGTATTTGTTGATTTAATGGCTAGAAGTTCTTGTTCATCTGAAGTTTGATTACCAGTAATCATTTATTTGTATAAATATACTGATATGTTAACCATAAAATTTGTAAAATATTTTGTCTAACTTAATTGCTGTATGCTTATTTTATTACTTAAAATTTATTATATTTATACTGGGCTCACAGCTAGTCAGACTAAACATGTATTGGTATATAATATATGGACCAAACGCCATGCAATGACAAGCTTTCATGAGTACAAGTTAACTAACAGATGTCGGTCTCTCACATTTCAGTCAGGCGGGACCACTGTACCACTTGAGAGTCGCACCATACGCTACATCGATAACTTCAGTGTTGGAACGAGAGGATCAGCATCTGCAGAGTATCCTTGCACTGAGCAAGTCCAGGATGGTTTAGGGATGTGTTGTGGATTCTGCTTGATACTAGTTAACTGTGCCTGTTCAAAAATACAACTAGAGGCAATTTGAAAGATTGGTTTTAACAAGCAGAAATCTCCTGTCCATATGTTCTTCTTAATTGGTCAGTGAAGTTTATGTTTCACAGCAAATATAAAAGTGTAGGCCTTATTATGTAACATTTTTAGGGGTTTTTCTTCACCTCTAGATGAAATTGTGATTGTCTTGACAATAAAAAGTTTTTTCTTTAAATTTACTTTCATTGGTAGCAGTAGTCTATACAGTTTCATCACTCAGCTACGCTGATTGTGGGCCACCTGTTAACAATTTAGACCAGTGCTGCTAAGTCAGCTTTACATTGTCAGCTATCAGTTGGCAAGTTTAGCAAGCTAAGTTAAAACCCTATTGACTTTCTGCAAAGTTTGGTACATGTAACATGCAGGAGCAGCCAGTTCTCACTTGATTTTCCTTGACTTCCTGCCATAGATATTTTCTTGCTCAGGGTTATGCAGTTCTGTTTCTTTATCGTCACCGTTCCTTGGAGCCATTTTCCAGGCACCTGTCAAAGATAAATGTACTGGATATAATAAAATCATCACATAACACCCTATCAGGTATGTCAAAGAGTTAAGTGGTCAGTCAGTATTTACAGGTAATATGTTCAATATTTTATTAATTAGCAAATGTAAACATTTGAACAAAAATACTTTGTAAGTAAAGGATTGTTTTTCTAGTCATCAGTATGCAATGAGCTTTGTTTTCATTAGCATTTGACCTTTTTTTAGCTTTATTTTATTTTAATTTTGTTTTTGAAAAATCATTTATTTTCTTATTTTTAAACAATTTTAACCTTATTACAATACTATATTACTGTTACAGTATGATATTAATTAAAATCCTTGTATACCAAAATTATCTCCCAGTCTCAGAGGATTGGACGTCCAGGATATCTGCCATACTGGAGAAATACAACCAGGTGAAGAGTGGCGGAACCTTGTTACAGATAGAGTTCACCACTGTGGGGGAATATATCCACCTGCTAAAGACAGCCGCTGATGCTATGAGACCTCTGGGGCCACGGGCCATGCTGTATCTGGCAGCCGCTGTGTCAGATTTTTACATTCCTACAGATGAGATGGTAAGTGAACTCGTAGCCAGAGGTACACAGCAGGCGCATCTGCCTACCTCAATTTGATAATTTATTTGTATTTTCACATGGCAGGGCCCTAGCCAGAAATTTCAAAGGGGGAAAGGGGGGGGGGGGGAGGGGATTTTTTTTTTTTAAANACCTTTTTTTAGCTTTATTTTATTTTAATTTTGTTTTTGAAAAATCATTTATTTTCTTATTTTTAAACAATTTTAACCTTATTACAATACTATATTACTGTTACAGTATGATATTAATTAAAATCCTTGTATACCAAAATTATCTCCCAGTCTCAGAGGATTGGACATCCAGGATATCTGCCATACTGGAGAAATACAACCAGGTGAAGAGTGGCGGAACCTTGTTACAGATAGAGTTCACCACTGTGGGGGAATATATCCACCTGCTAAAGACAGCCGCTGATGCTATGAGACCTCTGGGGCCACGGGCCATGCTGTATCTGGCAGCCGCTGTGTCAGATTTTTACATTCCTACAGATGAGATGGTAAGTGAACTCGTAGCCAGAGGTACACAGCAGGCGCATCTGCCTACCTCAATTTGATAATTTATTTGTATTTTCACATGGCAGGGCCCTAGCCAGAAATTTCAAAGGGGGAAAGGGGGGGGGGGGGAGGGGATCTTTTTTTCTGAAAAAGTGGATCTTTTACCATGAAACCTTTGTGTACCAAGATAAAATTTTACCCAGAGGGAATCTTCTCCCAGCGAAAAAGGGGGGTTCTTTTGACCCCCCCCCCCCATTTTTATTTTTTTATTTTTATTTTATAGCATTTTTTTAAGTAATTGCAGGAGGATACTGTCGTAGCGTTGAGGTAATGGAAAATATTAGATATTAATGTTTTTTATAAGCTATTATTTGTCCTGTTAATTTTCACAAACATTTTTAAAACTTAATTTGAAAAGTGTTCCATGTCTCACCCATTTAAAGTTTACCCCCTCCCTAACTATAATTGTGAACTGTTTTGTAGTTTTTATTCAATATGAAGGGATTCTTTCATCTTACTTTATAATTTGTATTTATACATATTTCACCTTGCAGCCTGAGCACAAGATCCAGTCTGGTAACGGACCACTGCAGATCTCACTCCAACTCGTCCCTAAGATGCTAAAACCTCTCGTCAAGGAGTGGATACCTCAGGCATTTGTTATTTCTTTCAAGGTATTTTGACGATGAAAACATTTTCTTTCTTTCTAAAAGATGGTAAAACTATTCTGAATCAATGAAAAAAAAGCATTCAGACCAGGACTGTTTCGATTTCTGGCTACAGCCAAAGACTTTGTGTGATACAAAAAATATTTAGGTAAATGTGAAATTGTGTATAAAGGTGTCTTTATTTATTTCCAGCTGGAAACAGACCCTAGCCTTCTTCTAAAGAAAGCAAAAGAAGCACTTGAAAAGTACAGCCATCAGGTAAGTATATTACATATTCAGTTTAAACTACCTTGCATAGATTGCATCGATTAACACTTTTGGTAAAGAGACTAATCTTAGACTAGTCTGCATGTTTATTGGTGCTGAGGTAATACCTTTAAAACTGTTTCCTAATTTCTATTTTTTTAATCTTTAGTAGTAGTTAAAGGGTTCTTTTTTTTTTTTAATTTCTAACATCATCCATCTCCACATACTTGCAGATGCAGGAATCATTCAATTCTTTCCCAATAATTTCTTATTCTGTTTTCTATCTCCAGGTAGTTATAGGAAACATCCTTGAGACTCGTAAAGAACTAGTCTGGGTGGTCACTGCCACAGAGTCCAGTCCATTTCAGATCAGACTGACCCCTGAGGAAGCAGACAGTGGCGTGGAAATAGAAAAGTACATTACTGAATACCTGGCAAAGATGCATGAAACTTTTATAACGCGAGCTGACAGTGTGAAATGAATATCGGTGCAGCGCGTGAGATTTTTTAAAAGAAAAGCCTGAAGCAAAGTTGGATTAGCAGGAATTATACGATAGTACATATATCATGTCTAATGTTTTTTATGGCTGCGGGTTTTTGGTTAGTGTACTAAGCTGATAGGGGTTACGAACGCACCATTAAATCTAGCTTTCTAGGAGCAATAGAAGTGGATGAGAAAGGTCTCATAAACGATA